TCAACCACCTAATAATGAGAAGAACCTGGATAGCACAGTTCCTGGCCCATTATGTTTTAACCTAAAAATGTAATCATATCAATTATTTAAACAAATTACTATGTGTTGAGTTATATCAAGGTTTTTATACAGGGTGAGATTTAAAGATATGCTAATAACTTTTTAATGGAGTATATATATATTATTATTACTTACCTAGTTCAAATGTCAATTACCATTTAACCCAACTTCGATATCTCTTTTTATCACAAGAGAAACTTCAATTTCTTATCCTCAAAGGATAGGAAAGTAGACGTTGAGCACTTACTGTGGCCTGCGCAGGGCCTCTAGCCATTTGTTCTTGTCCTTTAAAAACGCCAAAGGAACTTTCTCTTCCAGCTGGTGTGAGTTGAGAGGCAATAAGAATGCTGCCTTTCCTGCCAAATAGCTAACTAGCTCTCTCTCGAAGATTCTACAACTCTCAGGGGGATGCCTCAAACTGCTTTCCCATACTTATATGATTACTTCATAATTCTTATGCTTTAAAAAACAGAAACACTAGTGAAAATCATTCTGTGTACTCTCACCCATCTTCAATAAGTCTTCATCTAACCCTGTGATTATTTCTCTCTTTTTTAAGATATATTTTTATTGATTTCAGAGAGGAAGGGAGAGGGAGAAAGAGATAGAAACATCAATGTGAGAGAGAATCATTGATCAGCTGCTTCCTGCACGCCCCACACTGGAAATCAAGCCCATAACCCGGGCATGCGCCCTTGACCGGAATCGAACCTGGGACAGTCCGCTGCTCTGTCCACTGAGCTCAACTGGGCCAGGGCTGTGGTTATTTCTTTATTGTCAGGAATACTTACAGTAACAACAGTCAGGTTTCTAACCCATCAGCTCACACTCTTCCTTATTAGTCAGTATTAAGTTAACCCCGGGTCACTTTTGCTCAGCTCTACAGTTTTCATAGTTGTTCAGAAAACTGCTTTTTAAAGGTCAAACACTGGAGATCAAGCCCATAACCCGGGCATGCGCCCTTGACCGGAATCGAACCTGGGACAGTCCGCTGCTCTGTCCACTGAGCTCAACTGGCCAGGGCTGTGGTTATTTCTTTATTGTCAGGAATACTTACAGTAACAACAGTCAATTTTCTAACCCATCGGCTCTAACTCTTCCTTATTAGTCAGTATTAAGTTAACCCCGAGTCACTTTTGTTCAGCTCTACAGTTTTCATAGTTGTTCAGAAAACTGCTTTTTAAAGGTCAAAGCATTTTCACCACCCCTACCCCTACAATCATTTGAACAGAACAGAATTTTTAAATTAAAAATTCAACAGGTGCTTCTTCAAGAAATAATCATATTAAAGGAAATTATTAAAGTTTGAGTAATTATTAGCAAATAATTGCATGACACTTACTTAATGTTTGTTCAAAAGATGAAGGATATTTCTTTGGTAATATTTTCCATTATTATAATCCATAGAAGAACTATGGTAAACCTTTTCTGTTTTTCAGACTGCACCTGCTTTCAAAGAATATCTTTGACATTTTGTATTAACTACTTATTTGTGCTTTCTGACTTTTAAATAGAAACCGACCATGAACGTTGAGGGGAAGCCATCATCAGTTTGACAGGCCTTCTGGCCTCAGAGCTTATAAACAAAGTCCTGCTTTTCTCCTGCTTACCACAAAAATATAAAGTAAAAAATGGAGCATAAAAAGAGCCAGGACCAAAAAAAAAAGTAAAATCTCTGTAAATTATAAGGGTTTGACTTTAACTCTGAGCTTCAGGAAGTAAACACCACACTCATCCTGGAGAAAACACAAAACAAAAGAATTCCTTAGAGGAAACAAAACATTACCTGGCATCCAATTTTTACAATAACTGTTCTTATTTTAAAAGTAATAAACTTTCATTGTAAAACATTTTAAAAGGAGAAACGCCCTAGGATGGACAGAGCCAGCTGCTGATAAATGGTTCAATACCTCAATAGCTAAAATATATGGGATCCAGAAATGAAGGGATAGAAGCAATATTGGCTCCTCTTACCATCACTCCCTGTAACTCACTTTATTTAAAAAACAAAGAAGAAAAAATGCACACAGAATAAAACAAATATCACCTGTGATGTCATTACCCATTATTTGAACTATTGCTAACATTTTTTTTGTAGAGCCTTTCAATAATTTTCAGGCATGAATACAATTTTTAATTATGTTTATACTGCCTGGACTTCTTTTTTCAGCAACAGTATATTACAAATATTTTTTCATCTTTGAGTAGTTTCCTGTTAAACAGACTAACAGAATTCTTATAGATTTCTCAAATAAACTTCACAATTATTACTATATTTAATAGTACAAAGTGTAGGTAAAGAAGCAAACCAATTACTGTATAAGACTTTGGTTTTTTTTAAAATATTTAACCAGAGTTGATGAATAAAATAAAAATATAATTTTATTAACTAATATGCCCTCTAGTGCATTTAAATGTAGCTGACTTCATAAAAATTCAGCTCACATAATCTTCAGGAACAAGTATTACTTAGCGTAGCATCGATAAGGAAGAGGGGAAAAGGCAGAAACACCTGAATCTTAACTAAAGAGGAAGAATGTCTGAGTTCCCTTATCTATATGTACCCTGTGCCCTGTGATTAAAGCTCAGAAAGGACTCTCTCTGCTTTTTTGATGGCTTAGAAAGAAGTTAAATATTTTTCTCTAGCCTCTTAGCCATTGGTTAGCCAACATCAGGTAGAGATCACATTCTCCATCAGTCCTCATTTTAGTTTATTTGGCTCATAAAAACTACTTCTAAGTCACAAATTATAGGAGGGGGATTGGGGATAATGAAAGAGATTCTTGAGATCATGGTCCTAAAACTCCAGCGTGTAAGACAGTGGCAGGGATAGTTATTAGTAAAGATTCCTGGGCCCCATCTTCAGAGATTCTGGTTTAATAGATCAGGAGTGTGACCCAGGAGTGCAAATATCCTCATCATTGCATTCTACTATTCTGGAGGGAACTCATTGTTTAATCTTCCTTGAAAGTTGTTTTTCCAACTCTTGAAATCTCCTAAGTCTATGTTCCTCAAGCTTGGGTATAAATCCTCCAGGGTTTATGAGTGTGCTAGTGGATAGGTGGGGTCATAAAACCAACATGGTGTATCTTTCCTGGAAGGTCAGTTTTATGCAAAGATTTGAAAGTGAGAGAAAATGAATATATAAAATGTAACATGGAGCAGAATACAAAATTTACATGAGTTTTTAAAATAAACCAAAGACTTCAAAGAAATTTTCCCACTTTGGTGTATACCCCTACTTTCAGGAGTCTACATGTCTCTTCTTTCACTGTGTTAGAGGGCATCTTTGGCAGAATATTTTAATTAGTAAGGTTTACATTATAACCCCCGCAAAAGGCTGATATAAAAAGCTAGTAGTGTGGAGCATGTAAATACATAGTGCCTTTTTTAAAGATACTGTGAGTGGTTGAATAATAATTCTTTAAGCATTCTCTTTTCTTATTTAGAAAAGCATTTCTCTATTGCATATTGCAGATGAATGGTCTCATGTTGAGCCTGAGCCTTCTCAGGTGCCAGATCGCAGCTCTAGAGACCATCAGCAAGGTAAGGCCCTAAAAGCTAAGACATTCTCACACTCTGGTCCACATGCCACTGAGATAAGGAAGACAACTGATGATTCCATATCTAAAGTCCTAGACTGGTTTAACCGAAGTTCTCATTTAGATGACAATGAGTCACCTCTCCAACATCCCCAAGGAATAGAGCCCAAAGAAAAAGCAGACTCAAAATCACAGGCTGCTGTTGCCTTGGTGACAGATGACATCAGTCTAAAAGACAATGGCTCAAAGGCTCTGCTCTCCACCAAAGTTGAATTGACACCTATGGGGTCTGATTCGATGTTCCGGGCAGAGGGACATGTGCTGCCTCCTGGAAATTGCCAAGATAGTAATGTGGATATCAATCCCAAATCTATTCATTTGTCCCAACAAGGCAAGGAAGGTCCAGGCATATCGCAGCCATTTGAAACTTACAGTCCAAACCAAGGGAGTAAAACTATGGACTGTAGCCAAGCTTCAAAAAACAGAGACGCAGGAAATGGAATACCTCACCGAACGAGTAACTATCCCTACAGTGCTCTCAGTAAATCTGATGCAGCAGACCAAGTTCCATGCAACATTAAGGATGTTGGCAGCTTCGGTGAAGAAGAGCCCAAGCTTCGTGTTTATGAAAAAGAGAGAGGAAACTCAGAGGTGAATTTTGACTCTGCAAAAATCGTCAAAGAACCAAGTTCAAAAGACAACACGAAGGCAGGAGAGAGCAAAGGAGGAGATACTTATATCCCGAAAGCTTCGGTAGAGCCAAAGAATATTGAGTTGCTCCCTGGAGCTGCCAGCAACAAGTCTCCTTGGAAGAAGCCTGAGGTCCAACTACCACAAGAAGCTGGTGAGGTTCCCGAGAAACAAGTGCAAAGAGAGAAGTACAAAAGAGTGAGTGACAGAATATCCTTTTGGGAAGGTGAGAAGGCTGCAGCCAGATTCACTCAGAAGGAACCTACATCTTCGCACAGTCAGGGACAACCTTCTGCTACAGCCTATCAGCCTGGGAGGTCCATGGACAATATATCTACAGGCCAGAATGAATATAATCAGGTCACTGCCAAAAAAGTGGTCCTAGATGAGGATGGCCAAGTAGCTCATATCTCCAGTTTTTATTCCTTAAATAAACCTGAAGAGACCAGGCCCCACATGTCAGGTCCATCCAAAAATTACCCTTCTGCTGACCAATCAGATAAAGTGCCTCTGTTTCAGAATAAGATAAATGAGCCTGTGAAAAGACTGCCAGTGGCGGACAGTGCGCATTCTGGAAGAGACATCTCTTCGCCGGTACTGCAGCATCCTTCAAATGCCGGGAGTGAAATACATGCTTCTTTGGAGAAAGACAGATCTCTAAATGCTGAATCAAATCCCAACTTTAAAGTTATGTCCCTAAAAGAAAGAATGGATGAACCCAGTACAGAACAGGTTTATAATCACTCTCAATTTGAGAATTTGAGAAAGTTTTGGGACTTAGGAGCCAACTCAAACATTCAGGATAATGTTGAGAAAAATACCACCAAAACAGGCCAAAAAGATTCTGTGCCTTTTAACAGCCAGAAACACAAAGAACCCCATGACCTCAAATCATCAAGAGAAAATGCCCATGAAATCGAGACATTTCTAAGCCCCCCAAAAGTTCCAGCAGCAGAGGAAATAGAGGGAATAAATTCAAAGTGCACACTCCAGGTATTACCTCATGAAAGCACATTTCCATTGAAACCACCCACAAAGTCCACTCATCAGTTGCCAGGAAATGAGTCATCAAAAGAAAATGTGCAAAAGAATATGGAATGGTTGGTTACGCCAGTGTTCAAGGAAGAAAAGGATTGCTCAGACCAAGAGGTTCAAGAATCCATAGTGAAAACACATGTTTTGTCTAAAGACTACAAAGACACTTTTAATGACAGCTTACAGAAGCTACTTTCAGAAGCTTCGTCACCAGCAATCCCACCTTCTGGTGAAAAAGTTCACGGAAAACAAGTGCTTGAACCAGGTGCTTCTGAAAATAGGACATGGCCTCAGAAGACAGATACTGAGGAAGCAGCCAAAGGACCTCTGGACATCGTTAATGAGCAGGTAGACAAAACAGTAGCTCCTCCGAAGGTCAAACCAAGCACTTGGGCTGCCAGTCTAGATAAACTCCTGAAGGAAGGAACTGGGACTTTACCCTCTCCCTTGCAAACTAAGTTGGAACCCATCACCCCTCGGATCAACTCTGAGCCTGGAGAGAAGAGAGTTTTTGAAAAAGGTGTAGAACGCAGTCACAACTCATCAGCCCACCAGAGAGAGATCATAGCTCCTTTTCCAGTGGGGCAAGAAACTCTCGGAAAGACAGCTCTCCCCCCGCAAGCGGAAAGTGGTGAGTACCAGCTAACCTCGGAAAACTGGTTTCAGATGGTTGCAGGAGGTTCTCACCCAGTGAACCAACCTCCCCATCTTCACAGAAAGGGTTCTTTGGGAATTGAAGCCAAATCTCCCCAAGATATGCCTTCTTCTAGTGATGCTCATCTTGCTCCCCAGAATATGGCACTTCCTCCGCAAAGAGAAGTTTCAGAGACGGTGGAAAAAGTCATTGTTCCACCCAGATCTGCCTTGAATGATGTAAATGTTGTGTTACAGAAGCTGCTTAGGGAAGCTACGTTGAGTTATCCGGTTGGGAGGGAAGTCGTTCCTGGAGAAGTAAAAGCAGAATTTCCGGAAGGAGTACAAGCAGCAGGTAGCCTCCAAAGTTCTCCTGGAGTTATCCCACCATCGGCTGCAGTGGACATTACAGTCCCAGACAGAAAGGATGCTGACTCCTTCAATGTAGCGGCTCCTGATAAAACTCATGACATTGCCTCTCATTTAGCTGCCCCAGTGACTCTATCAGAACAAATCCCTCGCTCATTTGGCTCCACTGTCGCTCAGTACAGCAAAGAGTCACCTCAGGAAGTGACAGAAATTGTGAGGGAGACAATTATTCGACCTAAATCAGAGCCCCTTGAACTCAGGGCCGGCTTAGAGAAACTGCTGAAGGAAGCAACTGAAACTCTCTCCTCAAAATCTGAAAGCAACACAGGGATGCCCTCTCCATCCAAGTTAATAGGTTGTACTGAGGTGCCCAGGCCAGCTGCTTCTGGATTCCATCCCGAGGAAATAAAAGAAACAGTACAAAAGGCTGAGGCTCCAGCAATAACTGAGAGCGCTTTTGATATTGGTTTTGAGAAACTCCTTAGAGAAACATCGGAAGCTCCTCCTTATGAGCCCCGGGTGTCAGGGAAGGAAGGAACTCCCGAGAAGGAGACCTCCGGGTCAGGGCAAGCCAGGTTTCTGGGGAGAACCCAAGAGGCCCCTGAAATGAAGCTAAAGAGTAATGTTTTCAAATCTCGAGTCAACCCACGGGATAAAGGGTTGAGAGGAGAAGCTGTGAGTGATCTGTCAATAGATGTCGGTGGTTATGAGAGTGGAGCTGAGATCCCTGGAACCCTTTCTGTGGACCATGAAATAGGGATCATTGAAACTACAAAGCCCCCAGAGCCCAGGGAGAGTGAAACTGCAGTTGCCGGGGTTCGAGAAGGGGCTTTTCAGGAGCCTGGCTGTGGAGAGGGTCCCAACACAATTAGTGTGTCCAGAAATAGGCAACCTGTTCCTCTCCTGACCAATAAGGAAAACTCTACAAAGACAAGTAAAGTCAAACTGATTCTGGAATCACCTTACAAGAGACAAGAGCAAGAGAAAGAAGGTGTCTCTGACTCTGATTTTTCAGATGGAAACATCGGTTCTAATGCGGAAAGCTGGAGAAATACCTCCAGTGAGCATTTTGACGTTTTTAACCCATTGGTTACTTAGTTGATTTATGGAATGACGATGTAAAGGATGATAGCGCTTTCTAAATTGGAATTGATTTGCCACTCCCAAAAGTGCTAAATTCTTCTTATCACTTCAGTTCTCCCTAGCCTTTCTTCATAAAAACTACATTTCCTTTTATAATCTTTAATCAAATAAATTATATACACATAGTTTTACCCACAGGGCAGTGTTTTAAAATTTTACTTTATTCTCATGAATCAACAATAAAACTTTTAAGTTTCAAAAATATTTTTAAAGAATTTGTGTGGGGGAGAAGGGGAATGTTAGAAGCTACCTCTAACATTCAAGCTAGTTTTCCTCTTGGAAGTAATTAGAATTTCTTTCGTGATTGGCAATCCAAACAGAGATCTCTACTAAGATTTGTGACAAGAAATTGCCACAGATGAGCACAAATTTCCCTTTTCGGAGCAATAGTTTCCCACAGTAGTGGCTAAATACCAGGAACCAAGTGCAAGTTGGAACTTTCTTTTCCTCAGATACTTTGTGCTGAGGGTTTTTTTGTTGCCACGCTCTCCCTCTTGTTTTCAGTTATCTTCAGCATCTTCCCGTTCTAGAGTATGACTTTGGTCAAATGACTTCCCTTGGTCCCACACAAGGGCATTGCCTGGCCTGATGAATATCTTTGGCTCCAGCCTTGGCTAAGTGGATGAAGATCTTAATCGATTGCCACATTCATCTAAGGGGAATTGTGGGTATTGGTTTCAGCCAGGCGATAAAACGTAGGGTTGTCTCAGTTTTGCTCTTCTGATCAACACAGGCGTTTTGGCCAAGAAACCCAGGAGCAAACAGGAATGAGAAGTTACCTGATTAGAGTAAATGAAGTGATAACGGATGCTCCCTAGTGGGACATGTTAGCCAAAGCTGCACATGTAACGTTGATCACCTTCCTGGTAGTTTAATAGGATTTGTCATTTTCTAGCTCCCTTCAGTCTCAGAATAAATAAGCTTTGCTGAGTGGCTGACTTGTGAGGTTTAGGCTCCTTGGCAAGTAGCCGTAGGGCCTCTTGAAAACTGACCAAAGAATCCATCTTTAGCCCTAATTCATCAAGTTGAATCTGCTTTAACAAATGTTTCTGGTAAGAGAAGGGAAGTGAAATACCAGTCTCTGAAACCAGACATGTGCAGGAGTGTAAGTCAGCATGTTAAACCTGAAGAAGACTTTTACTAAACTATCCCCAGTGAGTTTCTACGGTAAACTGATCCATAGGAGGGGGAGAGCTTATACAATTGCACTGACGTTGGAGACTGTTGCCTAGGCAATGGTCGGCAAACTGCGGCTCGCAAGCCACATGCGGCTCTTTGGCCCTTTGAGTGTGGCTCTTCCACAAAATACCACGTGCGGGCGCGCATGTACAGTGCGATTGAAACTTCGTGGCCCCTGCGCAGAAGTCGGTATTTTGTGGAAGAGCCACACTCAAGGGGCCAAAGAGCCGCATGTGGCTCGCAGGCCGCAGTTTGCCGACCACTGGCCTAGTGTGTATAGTTGTGTTTAGAGTATACCAGCATAACTGGCTGAACAGCAAAAAGCCAATCTACAAATGAAATAACAATATTAAACAATGGCCTGGACAGAGCCCAGAGAAGTTATTTTAAAATTGTAAGTGATGTAAGAGGTATAAAAAGGTATAGTTGTAGTTTTATGTTTTAAAACAAGTAGGTGGAGTAAGGTGAAAGTAGAGGGGAACCTGGCTACAAAGGCATCACAATTTTGGTGAACAGCCTGACACCTTTGACTTGTGGTTCAATTCTCAACTAACCAATACCTCTACGTATGTACTCCTTGGGGGAAGGGAGGTGAAGGGGAGTTTTGTGCTCAGATACTTTTGGAAATGCTGAGAGACTGCACATTATTAGCATTAAAGTCTCCAAGAAGGTCTGTAATGAGAACCCTTTTAAATTTGAACACAGAGCATCCCAAGTCTAATTCATCTTAGAATCCATTTGCTGTAGAATGCCTATTAACATTGGGCGGAACTGGGATGCATTTCCGTAAAGTATTGTCTAGAGAAATGGTTCCAAATTTATTGATTCATTAATGGAACTAGTCATTGGTTTAGCAAACATTTTTGAAGTGCCTCTTGCCAACCGCTTGTCTAGGCACTGAGAATATAGCAGTGATAAATGACAGTATGCAGACAGGGGTCATCCATGATGGAGTTTTTATTATCAAAATAGAACAATTAAGGACTGTCTAGAGAGATTTCTTGTAAGGTTATATGTACTTAGTTATATATATACTGAGGTTATGCCCTTTTTCTTTCCTTTGGTCCTCCTTTTATAAAGAAAAGGCATTAGTAGGTGATAGAGCCACAACCACCCCCTTTTAAAATGCCTTAGTAAAATAAAAAGTTGACTGTCTCGTGTCATTTTCCAATATTTTGATGGAAATTTTATGAGCTCATGAAACCCAAAAAGCCTACATCTGTTGATCTGGAGAATTCAGCCATCTGTATATTCGATTATACACAGATGTTAAACATCTGGATCCTGCCTTCTATGGTTTTCAGCTAATTTTTTTAATGCTTCCAAAATCATTTTGTGGCTATCTTCAAAAGCTAGAAATGAAGTGGAAAGATTCAAAGCCTGGCACAGAACAAATCATGTGCCTAAAATAGAGGTGTGGAAGACTAGGAGATCACATTTCTATTAATGTGGCAGTCTTGTTTCTGAATGATTTATGTTTGCAAATATTTTTTGACCAAGAACATTGTTTTTTTTAAGGACCTCCTATTCATGAAGAAGTTTTATTTTCTTCTGTGAAGTGCTTCATAGAGTAAACAAGAGTATAGAGGCTTATGGCATAATGCCTCCTTTTAACCTACCATTTCCGTATCCATTGGTTATTAAGAGTTTGGTGGTGTGTGTTTTTGTATTGTGCAGTGTTCATCGGTTTTGTCTTACAACAGGTTCAGAGGAAGAACCCAGTCCTGTTTTGAAAACTTTGGAAAGGAGTGCTGCTAGGAAAATGCCTTCCAAAAGTCTAGAAGACATTTCATCAGATTCATCAAGTGAGAATACAGTTTGCGCCACTGTCCATGCCTCCATCTAAGCTTAAAAATGCCTATGTGCTCCTCTGTGGCCTCACTGCATGCTGTTGTGCACTGAAACCCCTAAGGGGGTTTAACAGATGAGAATGACCTTCCCAAGTGAGCCGAAGAGGCTGGAACTTGGCCTTTAAAGTAATGCATGACGTTTGCTTACTGGAACACCAGGTTTCCTTGCATTGAAGAATCCCAGTTTGAGTGTTTACTCAAGTAGAGTGAGTTTTAAAAGATAGTGGTAGCTAGTGATTCTAGTAGTAATAACTAACATTTATTGAGTAGTGTGTGCCAAGACTTGGCTAAGCGTTTTATATGCATTATTTTATGTATCTGGCATGAGTAAACCCTGTGAGGGATAAGTTGTTATCCCTATTTTATAGACGAGGACAATGAAGCTCAGAGAGGCAAAGTAACTTGCATAGTATCACACAGCAGAGCTGGGACCCAAAATCAACAACAGAATGTTGTCAAGAGCATTTATGACAGTGTTGGATGTCGGATGAATTTTGCATGATATGGAGATGAATTAGTCCCTGGCTTTAAGGACTTTCCTTTCTCTTTTATCCCTTCTTTTCATGCATTTCTTTTTGACACTGGAACAATAAGCCCAAAGACTCCCTGACACGCAACACTTGAGGCATACTGTTCCCCACTGGCTGCCGCTTTAATGGGTGAAGGATATCTTGAGGACTAACATAGCACATAACGAATAGAGGGACTTGTGAGCCAGACAAAAGGATGTAGAAATGATGATTTCTAGGGGTTTTGTTCTTATTGTTATCAAGCTAAAATACACCCTCAGGATTACAGATGGTCATGAGAAAATTTATCGAGTGAAAGTTAACCATTGTCAAATTCATATGATCAAAAGTGGACCATTGTCATGTTCAGAATACTTTTTATGCATCTGCAATTGAGACTAAGAAGTCAGAATTTTAAAAGGAAAAGAAAAAGGGGGAGCGGGGGTTGGGAAACACTCCACTAAACAATTTCTAAAATTCAGAGATTCCCAGGGCTCCGAAGGCAGTATTCCCAATTTGGCATGCAGTCCTAACTAACCCTGCCAAAGATCTTGGAATCTCAGGGTTGGAAGGGACCTTGATGGCCACCCATTCCAAACTCCCCCCAGTCCAGGAATTCCCTCCAAAGCCTCCTCAACAGGTGGCCAACCCCCACATCCGCCTGAATACTTGCAGAGAAGGCAGTCCGATCCTTTGTTAGTTACAGCTCTGATTATTCTTCCGGATGTTGGTGATTGGGCCCTGAGGAGGGGGGGGGGGGGGGGGGGGCGGGGCGGGGACAAAACAACTTAGCAACAATTGTTCAATTTGGCAAACTTCTTATTTATGAAACATGGGGCTATTTCCATGGTGCAGCTTTAAAGTGCTCAGGAATGTGTAGGGTTAAGAAAAAAAATGATCATCAGCGGACGGGTATTCTTGCGCGCTCCCTTCCAAATGCCGATACCCACACTCACTGTCGCCTGCCAAGATTCCACTTAGCAGCTGGTCCCCAGTCACATCTCTTCAGTTGGCTTCCCCAGCAGGGCTCCCAGGGGCGTACACAAATGGTGATGCGGGCACAGAAATGCTTGTTAGTGACCGTGCTCTTGGGAAGGTGTCAGTCGTGGCCAGCATCGTACCCTTTCTAGAAGAATAGAGAGGCTGTTGCAGCCCCGTGCTTTCTCCCGCTGCCCGCCGATTGCTTGCTCCGAACTAACCTCCTAACCCGCGGGAGTCCGTGCGCAGCCGTGTGCTGATGTAAGCTGCATCGGAGCTGAAACGGGAGCTCCCGCTATGGCACTGGCTCAAGCAGCTCATCCACAGAGAAAGTATTTTGGGAGAGACATCTTGGTTGCACCCCTCACTGCATCTTGACTAATTGCTTCCAACTCCCGGGGCTTTCGGGGACAATCTCATTGTTCTTTCTCGCCAAGGGTCAGCCGTGTTAACCGTGTGTTAATTTCTCCTGAACAGATCAAGCAAAAATAGATAATCTGCCAGAAGAATTAGTGCGTAGTGCTGAAGATGGTAAATATCTTTATGTATCTGCATGTCTGTCTGTGTGTGAGGTTTTGGGTGGTTTGGGCAGTCACCGGGACACAGCTGTTGGATAAAATAGATACGTCATTTGCCACTCCGTGATGAATGGTGCCTAAGTTATCATACAACGGTTCTGACTGGGTGCGAACTGTTTGTATTCCTGAGGCTTCTGCTGGGGATAGCATTGTGAGGATCGCCTCGGAGACCCTTGGGAAGCCAGGGTTTCTATAAATAGGAAATTGTATTTCCATGGGTAGGAGCTGATTTTTGCTACTCCGACCTGCAAAACTCCCTTTGAAGGCAGGAAGGGTACAGTGGGTTCCTGGGTTAAATTATTCTTGTATTTGATTCTTATGTCTCAGCATATAGATCTTCCTGGGCATACCCAGGAAAGCTTTAAATTCTAAGGAAAGGGTCCCAGAACAAAAGTGGGAATCCTGCCTCCCCTCATGTAAATAACTACGAATAGATGGAGGGTAATAGTAGCTGATTCTGGAGTCAGAAGATTTCGAAGCTTGTCAGTGGATCAGGTATTATTTGGTTCAGTTATAAAATGAATAGGGTAATAATGCCTTATTGAGGGGGGGGATGGAAATGAGTTTGATATTTATAGTTCAGCATTGATGCGAATGTATAATTTGTCTTTGTATGCTGGAATTTTGTTTTCTAAATTGCCTTCACTATAATAATAAAAATGTATATTCACTGAACTTTCCCATATAAAAGCAGCAAGAGCTCCTCAGAGGTCATTTCTTACTTTTATGTAACAGACTTGTCTTTCTCATTTTATGTTTACAACAACCTTGTTGAAATAGGTGAGGGAGGGCCCTGGGCAGTGTGGCTCAGTTGGTTGGGCATCCTTCCGTGCACCGAAAGGTTGCAGGTTCAATTCCCGGTCAGGGTACATGTGGGCTGGATCTCTGGGAGGGGGTGTGCAGGAGTCAGCCAATTGCTGTTCCTCTCTCCCTCTCCCTTTCTATCTCTCTCTAAAAATTAATTCAAAAATCTATTTTAAAAAGAAAGAAGTAGGTGGGGCAGGGGGTTTAATCTTTGTTTTACAGCTAAGAAAAGCTCTGAGAAAGTAGGTGACTTGTCTAAGATCCTGTAGCTAGTCAGTCAGTAGGAGCGTAGGGACTAGAATCTCGGCTTCCTTACTCCTAGTCCAGTGCTCTTTCCATTTTAAAAGGTGTGGCTTAGTGAACTGAGGAAAGACTCTAAACAGCTCCAATGCTGGATGCAGGACTTTTAGTTGAACAGGAGACATTAAAGAGGCTAACGAAGAATCATACTGGGGAACGGATGAAAGCAAGCTGAAAGCCTGCCCGGTGTATTCTGCAGTCTCAGCCATGAAACTGAAATTTGAGCTTTACTTTCATGTCTCTTTTAATAAATGGTATTTATTCTCGATGTCGCTCTTCTGAGCAGATCAAAAAGCATATCAGGAACCAGATACAAATGATCGCATACCAGGAAGTGAGTAGCAGGTTTTTTCTCACAAATGACTAAATGTTGCCACTGTACCTGGTGTTAAATATACTGAAATGACTAACCCCATTAATAGCACAGCTTTATTATTGGTACTAAACTCTTGCAGCTTAAAAAAACTATTTCATTCTGGCAAGGGTGGTATTAAAAACATTTTACTACTGTCTGTGTTGAAAGATTAATTGGTGGTTCTACTGAGAAAGAGTTATATATTTTAAAAAATTATTATATATATGTTAATGCCGGATATTATCCTTTTGCTATTCTCTCTGCTCTTTGTGTCTTTGCTTAAAATGAAGTTGGCACCTTCCAACATCACTTGGCTTTTATTTTGCAGAATGATCTTGAGTATTGGATCTCTGTGGCCTTTACACAAGACTATAGATATGAACCAATTTATAATTTATTTGGATCGAAGAAAGAACTGTACTTGACAGTTAGTACATCGTATGGTTGTATACCTCTCTATATACCTGTGGAAGCAAATTTTATGATGTCTAGGATTTAAGCTCCGAGGTTTAAAACTGGATGCAAATAGTATATATTCAACATGTAAATCAAGTGAACATCTGAATCTTTTTCAAAAAATCTTTATTTTTGAGAGTATTACAGATAACCCCCCCCATTACTCCTCTCCACCCAGTTCCCCGCCCTGCCCAGGCCTTCACCAACCTATTGTCTGTGTTCATAGCTAATGCATATATGTATTTAAGATTTTTGATTAAACTCTTCCCGCTGTCCCTCCTCCCTCCCTCTGAGATTCATCAGTCAGTATTTCCATGTTTCCATGCCTCTGATTATATTTCATTCATCAGTTTATTTTGTTTATTAGATTTCTTGTTCATTTATTTTGATTTTTAGATTCAATTGTTGATAGGTATGTATTTACTGCCATTTTATTATTCATATTTTTTATCTTTTTTCTTCTGTTATTCCTCTTCTTAAAGAATACCCTTCAAATTTTCATGTAATACTGGTTTGGTGGTGATGAGCTTCTTTAACTTTTTCTTAGCTGTGAAGATCTTTATCTGACCTTCAATTCTAAATGATAGCTTTGCTGGGTAGAATAATCTTGATTATGGGTCCTTGCTCTTCATCATTTTGAATATTTCTTGCCACTCCCTTCTGGCCTGCAAGGGTTCTGTTGAGAAATCAGCTGACAGTCATATGGATGCTCCCGTGTATGTAACTAACTGCTTTTAAGATTCTCTCTTTGTCTTTAACCCTTGGTATTTTAATTATGATGTGTCTTGGTGTGGGCCTCTTTGTGTTTCTCTGGGACTCTCTGTGCTTCCTGGACTTGTAAGTCTATTTCTTTCACCAGGTAGGGGAAGTTATCTGTCATTATTTCTTCAAATAGGTTTTCAATATCTTGCTCTCTCCCTTCTCCTTCTGGCATCCCCATAATGTGAATGTTGGTACACATGAAGTTGTCCCAGAGGCTCCTTACACTATCTTCATATTTTTGGATTCTTTTTGCTGTTCTGATTGGGTGTTTTTGCTTTCTCATAGTCCAAATTGTTGATTTGATTCTTGCAATCTTCTACTGTTGAATCCCTGTAAATTATTCTTTATTTCATTTAATGTGTGCTTAATTTCTGACCAGTCTTTTTTCATATCTTTGAAATTCTCCCTAAGATCCTTGAAAGTCTCACTAAGTCCCTTGAAGCTCTCATTAAGATCCTTGAGCAAGCTTATAACCATTGTTTTGAACTCTGTATCCAGTAGTTTCCTTGCTTCCATTTATTTCATTTATGACATGTTTCGTTGTCTCCACATTTTGGCTGCTTCTCTGTGCTTGTTTCTATGTATTAGGTAGAACTGCTATGTCTCCTGGAATTAGGAGAGTGGCCTTGTGTAGTAAGTATCCTGTATGGCCCAGTGGCTTAGCCTCCCCAGTCACCTGAGCTAGGCACTCTAGGTGCACCCCTGTGTGGCCTGTGTGCAGTCTTGTTGTAGTTGAGCCTTGATTGCTGTTAGTGTCACTGGGAGGACCTGACCTCCAAGACAAGTTGCTTGTGGATGTGTAGAGCTGTAATCTGGTATGGCCTGAAGCTGTCCACAGGGTGAACTGGCTCTGAAGCCTTCCGGAAGTTGCAAAGTCAGCTGCTGCCTGGGGCCACCCAGTAGGAACTACAGAGAGATCTGCAGATGCCTGCTATTTGTATTCGGCTTAGAAATGCCCAGACAAAGCCCAGCTGTGAAGCAGGGCAGGCTGGTGCTGTTGCAGGGTCTTGGGTTTCTTATTGATAGGTTTGGGGCATGCTGATGCCTGCTGATGCTTATTTGAGATATTTTAGAAAATACTGAAGTCTAAGCCAGGACAGACCATTCATATGGAAAAGAAGCTGAAAACAGCTTGGGTGGAGCAGCAAATTGGATGGGGCTGGGTCTCTGGAAATCAGCAGGGCGGAGTGAACATTGAGGTCCACAATGTGGGCCACGCTGTTGGAAACTTAGATATGGCTGCAGGTCAGCTCTGCAATGAGGGAGGTGTCAGCATAGGAACACTAACTCCTGCTAGCACCTCTGTCTGGGAGAAAGCTGCCCATGATTTCCTGCCACAATGCCCCTGGCACTGGAACTCAGAGGAAGCAGGACCATGTAAGTCTGTGTGCTGGCCCTTTAAGAGGAACTGCTGGATCTCCAGCACCCTCCATGTCAGGCAAAATCCCTGCTGATTTTTACAGCCCAGAGTTATGGGGACTTCTCTTCCCAGCTCTGGAACCCTGAGCTGGGGGTCTGGTGTGGGACTGGGATCCCTTTCTTCTCAGGGGAGGCCTCTGTAGCCAAGATATCACTCCTGATTTAAAAACACGCTGCCATCTTGTTTCTCTCCACCTGAACATCTGAATCTTAAGAAATAAATGTGCACTTGTCGTGGTTAATGTCATCAACTAATTAATATTCACCACCAAGCAAAGATTTTGATTCTTCACTCTTTTCCATTCAATCTTAAGATTGCTGAACATTTTAACTGTGACTACAGTGTTGAGGACACATGGCCCATTGAAAAGGTGTTTGTGGGCCTAGCAAAGCATATGGCTATGCATTTGTGTCTTCTTGACTCCCCAGTTTGTCAGTGTCATGATCGTAGGCACTGGAAGTCTGAAGATGATACACATGCCTGCCCTGAGGTGTCCAGGGATTTTTAATAACAGTTTCCCAACATTCTTTGGATGTGCTCATAAGTCTTCATGAGAAGAGCAGCTTAAATGAAAGAGCCATTAGAGAAACAAAGTGCTGATGCTAGAAGGCAGTGACATCTTGTCTGAAATCTGAAACTTTGCTCACGAGGTCCTCCTGCCGGAGATGAAGGTGCTGAGCTTTAGCACTCGATCTGACAAATTCTTAAGAACCACCCAGGGAAATAGGCATTCCAGGCTCTGGTCCTTGGTGTTAGTCTCTCTCTGGCTGCTGCAGAGGAAACCAGACTTCTGTCCTTCAGGGGTGGCAGGTCAAGAGGCTTTTCCAGATGCTTTTGAACTGGCAGATACTGAAAACAGCATCTAATTTCATTTTGCTGTTTTGTTCAACATTTAGCCTGAGGAGTGAAAACAAAACATAGAGATATATCTATACACATCTATATAGATGTAGTATATGTAGGTATAGATATATAACCAATGTATCTACATCTTCATTTGTGGCCTCCTGATGAGCTTTGTTATTGGTCAAGGCAAATAGGCTAATCATGGGGTAAATTCTGGATCAAGTCTCTCTCTATTTAAAAAATTTTTTTTTAAACCTTTTTATTGATATCAGAGAGGAAGGGAAAGGGAGAGAGAGATGGAAACATCAATGATGAGAGAGAACCATTAACTGACTGCCTTCTGCACACCCCACACTGGGGATTGAGCCTGCAACCTGGGCATGTGCCATGACCAGGAATCGAACTGTGACCTCCTGGTTCATAGCTCAACACTCAACCACTGAGCCACACCAGCCAGGACAATTCTCTCTTTTTTATGATATTTTCCAATTTTTTTTCTAGTGAAGAATGTATTCTTACCACACAAGACAAAAAATGAAATATATGATCTGTACACCTAAAAATAATATTATATTGAATGTCAACTTTAATTGAAAAACTTAAAAATATTTTTTAAAATGATTTCCTGAAAAAAGTAAAGAAATACATGATCAAAACATAAATAAAGGCCAATAAATGTAAGTGACTATGTTTGAGTAGTGGACATGTACTTTGAAAATAATAGGAAGCAGTGTTGTGATAAAAAGGTTTTGATACTCTTTGGGTTCTCCTGTGCCCTCCTGGGACCTAATTTTACACTGCTTGTATGATAGTCACCAAACACACACATACACATTATGCTTAATGGGAAGTGATTAAAGCGGTTATCATCTTGTGATAAACCATACATGTTTTTTGATACATTTGTAAGCCTAAGGCTAGGTGAGAACTACTATTTGAATGAGCAAATATTTAATATGTGTAGTTTAGTTTTCATTTTTCTTCAATTAGATTTCATTTAACTAAAAATAAATTTAGCTAATGCTTAGAGCTGAATTTGAGCCTTTTGAGTTATATATAGAACTATAAATTGATTTTTATTTATTTTCCTAGTATCGCTTTCAATGATAAAGTCAACATATTTGTATCACATCGTAAAGATAACTTAAAGAATCTCTTTCAGACAATATTTATTTTTTTATCAAATACTTGTGTAGGGCCTACTATGTGCCAGGTACTGTTCTGAGTGACTTGAAAAATGTGAACTCATTCAAATATAAAAGCTCTAAATTCACCACAAAAATAGCCTCAACATTGTGATTCTTAGACAAAGAAAAAAAATAGCTTTCTAACTAGAGTTACACAAATTAAGAATAGAATTTGTTATCTTATTGTGACTTCCATACATATGTTTACTATATCAGAAAGAAACCATATGCTACATTTTCATATTAAATTCTTAGAGTATCCATCTTGAATCATTCACACTTGGCCTTGAGTTTCTCTATTGAAAATTCTATGAATTGACAGGTATCTAATATGTGGAATCTAAAAAAACAAAATAAATGAGCAGATTAGAAACAGACTCATAGATATAGAGAATATTTTGATGGTTCCCAGAGGGGAGGGGAAATGGGGGACTGGGTGAAGAAGGTGAAGAGATTAAGAAGTACAGATTTGTTGTTATGGAACAGTCACAGGGATGCAAAGTACAGCATAGGGAATATAGTGAATAATATTATAATACCTATGTATGGTGTCAGATGCATACTAGGTTTGTTAGGGTAATTACTTCAAAAATTATATAAATGTCTATTCACTGGGTTGTATATTTGAAACTTACATCAACTATAATTGAAAAGTAAAAAAAATTATAAAAAATTATTTCTGTTTTCAAAGAGTAATTAGTTTTGAAATTGTATTGGTCTTTCATGGTACTCTCCACACTCACTAAAAAATAAACAAACCTTCTCTTAGACACTCAATGTCCAGGACACGATTATGACTGAGTTGTGTACAAAGATCCTTGCTGTCTGATGAAATAGTTTTTTAGCCTGCAGCATGTTAAAAGTATAAATATCTCAAGGAGATGAACCACTAAATTATAGATTGTGGGGTTCAAAACTGTGATGTGAAAAAATAAGTTAAAACCAATTCTCATTGATAGCATGTTTTAATGTAATTCAAATCCAGCTCCCGGTTCAAGAAAAATGAATAGTTTTTCAATGACTTTATTTTCTATTTGGTTCAACTCCTTGCTCTTTTTTCTATATAATTAATTTATGAAACTGCATGCTGCTTACCGTGTGGTCCTGTGCATGTGAAGTACGATGCCTTTAACCTTTTTACAGAAACATCTCTGTTCATAGATGGAAGAAACGTGTGTTTTCTACCTATGCCTTGTGTTTGTCTGACAATTGTAAAGATAATTTTGAACAGAAATGCTGCTGTTTAGTTTCCACAGTGCCTTCACAACCTGATAATCAGTTTTCCCACCCCGACAAACTCAAAAGGATGAGCAAGTCTGTTCCAGCATTTCTCCAAGATGAGGCAAGTTTATCTTTTGTACCTTCAGAAAAATGGAACCAAATAAGTGGATTTGCTCTGCTAAGGTTGGTGTGTGTGTGTATTCAGCCGTGGCAGGGACTGGAGGTCAGCAGGACTGACCCTTGCCTTTCATATCAATAGAGGTAGTGTTGTTGATCCTGGAACAAGGCAAGGCATGTCTCATTTGACTCAAACAGTAACTCCTTTTGGTAGTGAAGTCAAATTGCATAGATTTGGGAATGTGACTTTTGTTTCAAAGTGGGTATAAAATAAGAAATCTAGGCAGAAATATGTTAGCATGGACTGACAACTCCTCTGTAGTTTAAAGTACAGCTGTTTTGTGAAAACTTAGTCTAGGTTGCATGACTCACTTGAACACATTTGTTAAAATAATAAAATAAAAATGGCATAGTGAACTTTAAGGATATCTATATACATTATCTTATTAATCCTCCAACAACCCTAGAAGGTAGGCAATACCATTACCCCCAGATATTCAGATGGGGAAACAGACTAAGAGAGGTGAAGTAACCTCATTCAGCGAGAAAGGGGTTGAACCAGGGCTGGGGCCCAGATCTGACTCCCATGCTGTTAACTACTAATATGACTATTATCTACTATTCATTGAGTACCTAGTAAGTGCCAGGCATTTAATATTGATTCTGTTACCTAACTCTCACTAACTAAATGTGGCACTATTTTCTCCATTTTATAAAAGAAGAGGGAGCCTCAGAGAGGTTAAGTAACTTTCTCAAAATCCAACAGCTACTAAAAAGTGGAACTATAACTTGGGTCCTTTGACTTAATTAAGACTTCAAGTTCTTGTAGCCAGGTAATTCGAAGTCTGAGGTTTGGAGTCAGACATTCCCAGTCCTGGCTATGCTGTGTGATTATGGACAAGTTCCTTAACTTCCCTGAGTCTAGTTTCTTAGTACCTCCCTCATTAAGTTGTGAGGAGTCAGTGAGATAATGTGGGGAAAGCGCACAGCACAGTGCCTGACACATAGTGAGTACCCACTACATGTTAGCTATTACTATTAGCAGTTTGGGTCTGATTTTTGATGGAGAAATATAAAGCTTCATCCTCATGAATTTTATTCATAGACAGAATGTGAGCAAAGCTCTGGACAACACATACTAGTACATTACACCTCACCTCCCCCACTTTGTGGGTCTTAGATGAGCTGTATCTGCAAACAGAGCCCACATTACACTGACTTTGGGAAGAACCACTCATTTTTTAAACCTAATTCATTGGCTGAAAGCCAACGGTAGACACCTCATGGAGTTCCTGGTCTTGATTGGTCATATGAATTAATCATATAATAACTTGAGAGGCAAATAATACCAGTTCCTGGTTTTTTATTTTTGTCCTTCCTTTCGTTTTAACCTGTTCCTCGGCTCCACACAAAAGAGTCCAAATCGTTTGAGTGTGTGCATCGGGCATGCCAAGTTAAGCTGTATCATTTTACCTTTCAAAGGACATGGGGTTGGACGGAATGTTACAGGAAGTGGAGATGAAATCAGGCCTTGCTCCTTTGTCCACAGTCCCTTTGAGGCTTAGCATCAACGATATGTGTTAAGTGCCAACTATGTGAAAATCCGTGGTCCGGGTCAGCAAGACAGGGTCCCATCCTTCCAATAATTCACTAATGATCTGATATGCTAGATCGAATGTCGTACATGCTGTAATAGAGGGAAATGGACTGTAAGGATGTGGGGGGAGAGTGTGACAACAAGAGACATTAAAAAGGTTTGAATTTTTGTTTGATCTTTGAGGTGTTTTTTTTTTCCTTATCCATATAAGTCATAAGTTTTGTTTTTATTTAACTCCTTTCTTAATCTGCACTATTTGATACATAATTGCATGGCCCTAGAATATGTTGGCATGAACTAACTACTCCATAAAGGTGTTGCCCTAATCCCAGAAGCCACTGAACTGCCCCATAAACTCTCTAACCCCCAAAGGAGATCATTCTGAATCATGAATTTTTATAAACTACCATCAAATACACTTTAGACCTAAATATAATAAAATTTATTATTGCCACTTTTCTTTCATGACCCAAGTAAATATTTCCTGGGACATATATATAAAATAAGTATCATGTTGTTATCCCCCCCACACATTAACTGTGTTATTCCCCCCCACGCACATTAAATGTGTTATTCCCCCCCATACACATTAAATGTGTTAAAAATTTAATGTGGGTAGAATGTATAATTTAATATACTACCCTAGAGCAGCAAAAAGATAAGCACAATATCGCTATTGAAATACATGAGAGGTGATTTCAAATTTTTAAAATACTCACTTTTTGTTGAAACAGAGAAGACTAGCACTTATTTTTCCTAGTTTAATTTGATTTTTAGGGAAGTTAAGTTTGTGTTAATGATGAGAGGAATTAAGCATGACATTTTATGTCTTGACAGTAAAACTTAGAGCTTTTATTGTCTGGGGAAAGTTAATTTCTCATATATATCAGTAAAGTTCTTAAAGAAACACTAAGTATGTAATATTGAGAGAGCAGCAAGCAGCTCACAGCAGTACTGTCTTCTGATGCACCTCAGGACCCCTTGTAGGTGAGAAAAGAAAAATCACTGTTATTTTGGTATCTAAGCACTGCTCTCCTCCTTAGGTGAGGTTCAAGGCAGCCCACCCACCCCATCCTGAATCCCATTCCTTGGCAATTAGCCCTAGTGTCCTTGGAACTTGAGAAATGTCATAGATCAATGCGATACCAAGATATTATCTCTATCTAAACAGAGATTCTGGTCTGGATTCATTCTGAATTTAAACTGTGTATATATTATATGATGTTTTGTAGAGCGATGACAGAGAAACAGATACAGCATCAGAAAGCAGTTACCACTTCAGCAGACACAAGAAGAGCCCAAGCTCTCTAACCAATCTTAGCAGCTCCTCTGGCATGACGTCCCTGTCTTCTGTATGTAAACAAAGGCTCCGTGTTAATATCTCACCGCTTCTGCGAACTCGCTCTGCCACGCTCCTGCTACAGTACAATGGCCTCCTGTTGTATTTCCCAGATTCCAAGGGCATGAGCTTTTTCTCTCACCCACCATTAGCTGCTGGCTCGCTAAATTCTCCTTTTTCTTTTTCTTTTTAAGCATAAAGGTTCATATCCATTATAAATCAATATGGTTTTTTGAAGGTAAGGACTACAAAAATAAACTTAAAGTACCAACAAAATGAACCACTGAATTTTTCTGTGCAAAATGGGTAACTATGATCAAGTCTGCTTGTATCAGATATGCTTTTATATACCATTGGCAGGTATAGAATTGTATCTCCCTTTTTTTAGCAAGCCTGTTGGGTGACAGTACTGATTCACATAAAAGAATGGAGGAGGTGGTTCTTTGCCTTATAAAAGGATTCTGAACAGTGTTTTCAAAGCAAAGCTCCCTAAGTGTGGTTACTTCACTAAGAACTTCTTTCATAAAGTGAGGTTGTTCTGTGTGCATGTAGCATGTGTGTAGAAATATATATATATATGTAAAATATATCTGCATACACTAATCCAAATATTTCCCTGATATACATATACATGCACATATCTTGCCAGCTATGCTAAACAAATAATAAACCTGTGCTTAAATACTTAATAGCCTCACATTTCTCAGATTGCTTTTTTTAGAATCTCTTTAAGTTGAATTTCTGCTGACAACAATCTAATGCATGGTCTTGGAAGGCTTTAAACTCCCTTCATCAATCATCCATTTTCTACCCTTCCTGACCTCTAAAAGCATATGGCTCAGTAAGCATTTTCCTGGATTCAGCGGATGAGTAACATAGTAAAATTCCTCCTTAGTGCCTTGGAAATTTGATAGAGCAACGTGTCACTGTGATTTGTGTGCCTGGGGTTTCTCACATCCCCTTTCTTTAACATTTTAAATACTGAGCATGCCTAAAAATGGAACTCTGAAAACCCCCTACCCTAAAATCACCCTGCTGTGAAATGAGCCAGCAGCATCTACGTAACTTTGCATTTCACTTCTCCCCTATGTCTCGTAGAGGCAATTTTTTAAAAAACACTAGTTGTGTCGTGTATATCACGTCAGATTATCTGTGTTGGTGTGTCTTTATGCCATATCAAATTAGCTGCTTTTATATGCAAACTCGCGAAATAATGGCAAGCAAGAATTATAGCCATGATCCCTGAGTTGAGTTCAAGCATGAGAGAGACAAACCCTGCATGTTTCCAATGCTCTCAGGTGAGCGGCAGTGTGATGAGCGTTTACAGTGGGGACTTCGGCAATCTGGAGGTGAAAGGAAGTATCCAGTTCGCAGTTGACTATGTGGACTCTTTGAAGGAGCTGCATATCTTTGTGGCCCAGTGTAAAGACTTGGCCGCTGCAGACATTAGAAAACAACGTTCAGACCCGTAAGTACATTTGGCATCACTATTTCCTCCTAGTTAATCTTGTAGAAACCTGGAAGGAAAGAACAGAATTGAAGGGAGGGTATGACTCTGTTAAAAGCAATGTTTGAAAGAAGTGGTAGCAGGGGGAATGCTGTCTTATTTACTTTATATATTCACATGCCAAACTTATTAAATTGCAGAAATGTCAGAGAAGCACAAAATGTTTCAAGTTGGAGGAACTTTTGAGGTCATCTTGTCCAGGTCCTTCTTTTGACCGATAAGGGAACAAGGGCAAGAGAAGATAAGCAGCCTGTCTATGTAAATTCAGACAGTCATTGGCAAAATGAGGAATGAGGAGGGCTTGAACCTTGTCTCTTTCCACGGCACTCCCCAAACTGCCTCCAGAATTAGGGACATGTGGGGCATACTTCATAATGTTCAGTGGTGCAGAATCAGTTAAGATTCTCAAATGAGGTAGTTTCCATATTTAAATTATATTCTGCAGAAGCTCTTTAGAGAGAATTACCAATTCATCTTTGAGATCATAGATTTAATTGCATTTCAGTTTATTTGCAAAAGTGGAATGGTATTCCCCACTCATCTCTATGCAGAAGTCTGATTCTTATTTTGCTAGCATAAGCCCAATCCTTTTTCCTTTTATTACAAAAACAACTGAGCCCAATATCCTTTATTTTACATTGAATATGGCTTGAATAGGTGCATGCAAAGATTAATTTTATTTCAAAAAACAGTCACAAAAACTTTTTAAAATAATTCTACAATGCCCTAGGCAGTTTGGCTCAATGGATAGAGCATCGGCCTGTGGACCAAAAGGGTCCTGGGTTTGATTTGGGTCAAGGGCACGTACCTTGGTTGCAGGCTCCTCCCCAGCCTGTGCCCTGGCGGGGCTCGTACAGGAGCCAACCAGTCGATGTGTTTCTTTCACATTGATGTTTTTCTGTCTTTCCCTCTCTCTTCCACTCTCCCTAAAAATCAATGGAAAAATATCCTTGGGCGAAGATTAACAAAATAATAATAATTCTGCAAGCACCAAAGCCTTTCTGAATTGAAAAGAAGCCAGTGGAATTAAGCACTGTTAGAGGTCTGTAGTACTCCCCTCCCACCTCTGACGGAAGGCCAAAGGAAAGGAACTCATGACCAATTCCACTGAAATAACTTTAAACGTTTAAGCATAAAGGTGTTGGTGGAACATTTATTGCGTATTGCTTTTCTCATTATGAAAGAATTCTTTCTGTCAATTTCCAATGCATTTTTAAAAGCAGCGGTGGAAATATCACTTTTCTTTTTCTCTGACCTTCTTGTCTGTTCATTTCTCTTTTTAGATATGTAAAGACTTACCTGTTACCAGACAAGGGCAAAATGGGCAAGAAGAAAACACTTGTCGTGAAGAAAACTTTGAATCCTGTGTATAATGAGATACTGCGGGTATCTATGAACTCTAGATTGGGAAAACCCTAAATGGTGGCCTATGTGTTTATCTAGCCATATCTTCTTGAATACTGTACCTCTACAGATTAAGTCTGTTGCCCAGAGAGGAAGGAAAGGATCAACATTTTCCGAGAAACTGCTTTGTATGAGATGATATGCCATGAATGTCGTACCCGTTATCTCATTCACTCCCTACGTACCCTGCTAGGCGGGTACTATTATCTGTATCTCATAAGATGCGGCAAATGAAGCTTAGAGAGATAAAGTAACTTGCTCAAGGATATGCAACTGATGAAGTTGAGCATTGCAACCAAAATGATCTAAAAAGCATAATTCTGATCGTGGTATTTCTCTGCTTGAAAGCTTTTAGGATTCCCTTAGAGTCAACTCCATCCTTACCATGCACACCGGTCCCTTCACAACCTGAGCTCCCGCCTCATCTTGTCACGGTCATAGTCTTTGTGCGGGATACCCTGATTCCTTTCTGTTCTTTGGAAGAACTACATTTTCTCACACTGCTGGCACTCTGTGTTTGCTTAGGCTGGAATATTCTTCCCCACATTCTATCCCTAACTACCTCCTACAGCCTTCAATGCCTCTTCCTATGAGCAGCTGTCCTACCCCTCAGGCCCCCCTGCTGTCTGCTGCCTTGTGTTCTTGTTTTGCTTAGGCTATCTTAACTCTCCGCACTTTACTGGTTTGTCCGCTTTCCCAGTAAATTGTAAGTTCCCCGAGGGCAGGGACCAACTCTATGTTGTTTATAAACTGTGTGCCCTTGGGTAAATGACTTAGCCTGTCTGCACTTCACACCTGCAAAAGGGAGGAGGTAATATAGTAAGTACCACCTACCTACCTACCTCAGTAGTGGTGAATGTTAAGAGAGTTTATATACAGGAAGAGATGAGTATACATTAAACACTTAATAAATGTTGACTCCTAGTACGGTGTCTGAAAAAGCACTCAAATGTTTATTGGAAGGATAGATGGATGGGCATATGAATGGAAAGTATACCTGGCTCAAATACCATATTCTCTCCCTCCTTCACCCTCTCCTCCCTCCCGCCCCCACGAAACTGTATCATGCTACCTTAATCATGAGTAATAGAAAATGTAAAACTACAAATAGAAGTACCCTCCTTCTGAAAATTCTGTCCAACTATTTGGTTATCCTCTGAGAAAAGTGGAGTTAAATTAATTCTCAGTCATCCGTGGGTGAGTTTTCTGTAGCAAGTTTTAATTACAGTTTGACTATGATATACCTCAGTCCCCTAGCTATTTCTAGGTCAGCTACTTCAGCCCTATACTCAGGAAAAGCCAGATAATTTAAATAGTAAACTCAGAGAATAACAAGTGTGCTACAACCAAAATGGGCATTCAAGCAGTACATCATAAAGCCAAATAGAGATTATTTTTAGATTAGAAGTACTATTATCCCTTCCATGATTACATATAATCAAGGATTGACTGTCATTTTAGATGAAAAAGTTTTAGGATGCCAAATATTTTTCACTTGACCATATGAAGCAGGAAAAAACAAGTCTATCTTTTCTTGAGAAATTCCTTATCTTTGTAGGATATCAAGTGGAAGAGGTTGTGTGTATATAGAGATAGGTGGGTTATGGGAACTGTCTACTTTTCACTTAGTTTTGCTGAGAATCTAAAACTGCTCTAAAAAATAAAGTCTATTTTAAAAATATATTTTGTCCTTAGGTAGAAAACAGACCATCGATTAAACTTCATTTTTAGAATGAGTTTGATTTATATTATACCTAGTTAGAAATAAAAACATCCAGTAAAAAATTGAATAATTGGCTTTTGTTTCTAAGGAGCTATTACCAGCTATGATATTTGAGCCATGGTTTGCTTTTTCCAAAGGGGCAAAGAAAATCAACTTTTATGAAAGATGGATTTTAGCTCTTTGAAACAAGACACTTAGAATAGGATGACTTTGCAATATTCTTAAGACTTGAAACCTAACAGATGAGACAATCCGATCTGCACAGATGACTTCTCTTCATCTCTATGTCATAACTTTGGCATAAAGTAATATCATTCACCCCTTTAATTTCCTTCTTTGAACTGCAGTATAAAATCGAAAAGCAAATCTTAAAGACACAGAAGCTGAACCTGTCTGTATGGCATCGGGATACATTTAAACGCAATAGTTTTCTTGGGGAAGTGGAACTTGATTTGGAAACTTGGGACTGGGACAACAAACAGAATAAACAATTGAAGTGGTACCCTTTGAAGCGGAAGGTAAGTTCAGCATTTTTGGATTGGTTGGTTGGTTGATTGGTTGATTGGTTGGTTGGTTGTTTTGAGGCCTGGTGTGTAGGAGAAAGGTCCTTTAAAGTTGAATTTTCATTCAGGATACTTATCCACTGTTTGGGATCATTTTCTCTTTCCACTCTGTCTCATATGTCTCTTATTCTCTTTTCTATATTTTCTTCCCCTGGTTCCCATGTATGCTTCAAGTTGACTATTTCTTGCTAACCTATCTTATAGTTCAATAATTTTCTTATCTACTATGTCTAATCTGTGATACCCATCTACAAGTTCTCAATTATATATTTCAGACTTCTATTTTCATTTGATTCTTTTTTATAAGTGCCTCTTCTCTGCTAAAATGTTCCATCTTATCTTTGTAAATACGTTAATCAGAGTTATGTGACGTGTGTATCTGAAAACTCCAATGTCTTAAACATTTGTGAGTCTCTTATTGAAATTTTTATTTTATTTTGGTCACTTGGTCCTTTGTCCTTGTATGCCTATTCATTGGTTACTGTGTGCTGGACATTGCATGAAAAGAATTCTAGGGATAACTTGGGAAGGTTTGCTTTTGCTTCTGACACACAGTGTAGGGACAGACCACCTTCATCTAATCTGGGAATGAACTGACTAGAAGGTGGGGCTTCGGTTTTCCTGTAGTCTGATCTGGTTTTTGTTTGCCCATATTCTTAGGCTGTGGCCTTCGGGAGATCCAACTGCAGGCCTAGGAAGTAGATCTCAAATATCAGTATCCAATTCACCTGAAGAACTTATTAAAACACAGATTTCTGGGCTCTATTCTCAAGGTTTCTGATTCAGTAAGGCCTATGCCCAGGAATATGCATTTCCAACAAATTTCCAGGTGATGATGATGTTGGCCTGGGAATCACACTTTGGGAACCATTGGTCTTATTAGAGGCCATTCCTCCTTAGCAGGCCATGGATTTCAATTTTTGTCTTCCCAGCCCTTTGAGACTACTGAAAGCCCTTCTTAGTCTCTTTCTGCTAGGCTTTTTATTCTCTCAGTTTGGCACTTCTTAAAAATCAGCTAATGCCTCAAAGTGGAAAGTAGAGAATATGTCAGTCTCTAATATCTGATCCATTTGAGTCCTATCTTAATGATTCTTTAGTACCTTCAAGTAGATTTTATAATTGACTTTTTTATTGTTTTCAGTATGAGGGTTAATGTGATCCCAACTAGTCAGTCATAGCTGGAATTGATACATATAAACAATTCATACAAATCATTAGTTAGTATCTACATAAGAAAAGTTTCTTTTAAGAAATGCTTCCTAAATATTACATCAAAATCACATAAAGCACTTATTTCTGGGCCTGCCCAAGACTTGCTGGATCTGAATTCCTCAGAAGATGTCAAAAGCATTCATTTTTAACTAATGTATCTTATGTTTCTGATGTATAGACAAGTTTTGGAAATAAGACTCCAAAGGACCAGATTTTGAAAGTAAAACCATTTCTCATATACTTGAAAATAATAGATAGATATTTTAAAATTATTGTCCAGCCTTTGTTATTCTTACAGACATCTACTCATTTTGTCTAAAATCGTCAGGTTAATGCATTTTTGAACATGTAATATTTGGCTTTCTTCCAGCACCCACCTTCCCACACTCTTCTTATTCCTTCAGAGAAAGAGAATACAATTAAGTTGTTTTATGTGCTGGATGAAGGATTAACGAAATCTATGTGTTTTCATAAAAACCAAGGCATCCCACAGCAACTCACACATCTCCAAGAAAGCCATTCTAATTTCTCCACTATCCCTGAGACTAATGGCCTTGAAATGTGTTCTGGGTACCCTACAAAGTTTTCCAAGATGCCCAGTAGAACTCTCCCAGATATAAAAACAATAGTCCAGTCCTAGTTGGTTTGACTCAGTGGATAGAGCGTCGGCCTGGGGACTGAAGGATCCCAGGTTCGATTCCAGTCAAGGGCACATGCCCAGGTTTCGGGCTTGATCCCCATTAGGGGGGCGTGCAGGAGGCAGCCGATCAATGATTCTCTCTCATCACTGATGCTTCTATCTCTCTATCTCTATTTCTATCTCTTTCTCTCTCCCTCTTCCTCTCTGAAATCAATAAAAATATATTTTAAAAAATAAATAATAAAATAAAAACCATAGTCTAGCTCTGATGGGGAGGGAAACTTTAATTCAGGACACTCAGGAGTGATACGTTGTTCCAGAAATGGGGAAGATAAGGTCCTGTAACAGAGTACCAACAAACAGAGTAAATAGTTTGTGTCTTACATCTGCTGACATTCCTTCTTTTTTCAGACAGCACCAGTTGCCCTTGAAGCAGAAAACAGAGGTAAAATGAAATTAGCTCTCCAGTACGTCCCAGAGCCAATTCCTGGTATGTAATGATTTTCTGTCCAGATTTATGCCCTTTCCTCATCCCCCACACTCCCAGGGTTTCTTTGGGTTCTATGCTATTTTCGAAGGTGAAGCCCTAAATAGATTTATTAACTTAGTAATCGTATAGACCAAATAAGTCAACTCACAGTTGTAAACTAGAAAATTCTCATTTTTTATTGTGATAAAAACACATAAAATGTACCATCTTAATCATTTTTTTAGTGTGACATTGGTAGTGTTAAGTAGATTCACATTGTTGTGAAGCAAATCTCCAGAATGTTTTCATCTTGTATATATCTGAAACTCTATACCCATTGTCAACTGTTGGTCTTTGCACCACTTCAACGCCACAGGAATCCCCAATTTGGGGTGCAGTAAAGAAGGAAACTTTATTCACTACAAAACAGAGTCAATTGTGATACAGCATGGCAGCACAGCAGTAGAAAAACTCTGGGGCCTCCCATGTTCGAACTAAGCCAAGGAGACATAGTCTTCATTCTTTGGTGAAAAGAGAAAGTGTGCTCTCCAAGCCAGAGGGAAGCTGGCTTATATGGACAGAAGTCCCCATCCCTGTTCCCTGATTGGTCTGTCCTCATGCAAATGAGGACTCCAAATCCTCATGGTTTGATTGGTTCATAAGGCTCTGTCCTGATTGGTCAGAGTAGAGCCACTCTGATTGGCTGGAATTGCACAGCTGTGGTTGGATGGGGGAAACCCTCTACCTATTGGTTGACATAGGATCCCAGGAAATCTTTTAAAGGGCTGGCTCAGATGGCAGGCAGGCAATTAAGTGCAGAGGCAGGTGGTTTAGCACAGAGGCTTCTCCATGAAGTGCAGTTTGCGTGAGAGGCCCTTTGGCTGCTAGGCTCTGTTTTTTATTTGAGCCCAAATTGCCACCAGGAGCCCTTTTTAGTAGTTGTCTATTTTTTCTTCTCAGGGTTCACCTTATTGAACTACAAAACCTCTTATCCCCTTTCCTCCCGATCCTGGTAGCCACCATTCTATTTTCTGTTTCTCTCTCTTTTTTTTAAGTCTAGTTTTCCGGTCTTTTTTTAACTTGTTCCTCACTCTCCCAAAAGTTTGTATCTGCACATGTGTATGACCTTTTCTGTATTCAGAATTTGGACCTATTGACAGTGTTGTGATAAGAATGGAACCTGAATGGTTTTTTTTCACAGGTGGGAATTGGAAAAATTCATATGAACCTTACGAAATTAGAGCTCATTGGTCTTCCATTCTCAAGGTCTCATCAGGAGAGAAAGCTTTTTCCTGAATTACTCACTGTAATCTTTCCTGAAGATTACTAATACTTGATGTTAGGGCCTCAAGTCTGCAGCCCCTTTAAGAAGCAAGAGATAGGCAGGAAATGAGTGCCAGCCCCCCTTTCATTTCTCAAGCAAGTTCCCCTAGTTATTCTCCTTAAGAATCTGTATGAATGTTATGGCTGAAATAGGGATTGCACACGCAAAGTCTTTCAGTAACCAGGCAATGAAACTAGTGGGATGAAAGACATAATGGATGGTGAGGGCAGTGACTGAGCTAAAGAACGGCATTCTAATTCAGTTAAATAAAAAGAAAAAAGAATTGGATGGAAAGCAAACATATCTTTAGGTCAAATGGCTGCCAAACCACTATCTTGTTACTTCTGGATCTTTCTAAAAGATTCTTTCTTATGTAATTTGTATCCTATCATTTATGGTCAACATGCCTAGAAGTTGTACCAATCTCATTTCCCATTCTCTCCACTACTATTTCTTGGTGGTGGGAGCTGGGGGACTGTGTGTTGTGATGGGCTCCACCTTCCCTGAGTTTTTACTCATGTAGTCTCTCTTCTCTGTGTTGGCTAACCTTCTCCTCAACCTATCCAAGTCTTAGATGAAGTCCTATCTCCCCCATATAGCCTTTCCTGACTCTATTCCCCCTCACTGATTACATTATCTCCTAGAACATTACAGTAATAATTTGGCATTTCATTCCTTAGTACATTTTTATAGTTTTAATTGAGTTAGTCTTTCTTGTATTCCTTGTATATTCAATGCCATTCATATAATAGAGCTGACCACATAATAGATGCCTGGTTGGTTGACTGATTGGGTCAAGTCATCCGGAAAAATATGATAGTATTCCTCTGACCAGGTGCACCCAACCTAGACAACTTCAGATTAAACCAACTTCTCAGTAATCCCCTGTCCATAATATTCTCTTTTATGTGTGTTTATATAATAGTCTTATAAAATGTTTAACTTTTTTAAAAAATACATATTTTTATTGATTTCAGAGAGGAAGGGAGAGGGAGAGATAGAAACATTAATGATGAGAGAATCATTGATCGGCTGCCTCCTGCACACCCACTACTGGGGATCGAGCCCACAACCCAGGCATGTGCCCTTGACTGGAATCAAACCTGAGACCCTTCAATCGGCAGGCCGACACTCGATCCACTGAGCCAAACCAGCTAAGGCAAAGGTTTAGCTTTTTACACTCTATTTTTAACAAAAAGAATGACTCTTTCTTAGCTATACCTGTTTTGGTTGCTTTACAGTAATACATTTAATATGTTGGCACCAGTTGACATTGGTATCAGTGTTTGAAAGGTATGTGCATTTCACTGAGATATTTTGAATATCAGTACAAATGGATGACTCACATGCCTGATATCTATAACTGATCCTGTGGAGCCAGCAAAACCCGACAAGAATGATGTAATACTCTGTACTTGGAATAAATATAAATTATTTTCATAGAGCTGTCTGAGCTCAGCACAGCCAGACTATAAAAGCTATAATTAAGAATGTATAGCCCTGGCCGGTTTGGCTCTAGATAGAGTGTCGGCCTGCGGACTGAAGGGTCCCAGGTTTGATTCCGGTCAAGAGCACATGCCCAAGTTGCAGGCTCGATCCCCAGTAGGGGGTGTGCAGGAGGTAGCCAATCAGTGATTCTCTCTCATCATTGATGTTTCTATCTCTCTTTTCCTCTCTTTTCCTCTCTGAAATCAATATAAATAATTTTAAAAATAATGTATAGATTTAACCTATTAGGATCATATCATCAAATACTAGCTAGTATTATTTTTATTTTTATTTATTTTTTACTTATGTATTGTTGACAGTATTACAGAGGTCCCCCATTTTCCCCTTCCTTGACCCCTTCACCCAGCCCAATGCCACTCCAGGCCTTCTCCACACTATTGTCGTGTCCGTGGGTTATGCATCTATGTTCTTTGGTTAATCTCTTCCAGTCCCCTCCACCTCCTTCCCCTCTGAGATCTGTCATTCTGTTCCATGCATCTGTGTGTCTGGACCTATTTTGTCTGTTAGTTTATTTTGTTCATTAGATTCCACATATAAGTGAGATCATGTGATATTGGTCTTTCTCTGGATTATTTCACTTAGCATAATCATCCATGCTGTCACAGAGGGTCAGAGTTCCTTCTTTTTTAGCTGAATAGTATTCCATTGTGTAAATGTACCTCGGCTTTTTTTAGCCACTCATCTACTGATGGGCACTTGGGCTGTTTTCAGATCTTAGCTATTGTAAATAATGCTGCTATGAACATAGGGGTGCATATGTTCTTTCTGATTGGTGTTGCTGGATTCTTAGGAAATCAGAAAGAATATATGCAATCTTTCTGATTGGTGTTGCTGGATTCTTAGGAAATCAGAAAGAATATATGCATTCCTATGTTCATAGCAGCATATTTACAGCTAGAGTCTGTGCACGATAATTTGTGCCGGGCGGGAGGGTCCCTCAGCCTGGCCTGTACCCTCTCACAATCCGGGACTGCTGGCTCCTAACCTCTCGCCTGCCTGTCTGATCGCCCCTAACTGCTCGCCTGCCTGCCTGATCACACCTAACCGCCTCTGCCTGCCTGCCTGACTGCCCCTAGCCACTCGCCTGCCTGCCTGATCACCCCTAACCGCTCTGCTTGCCTGCCTGATCTCCCCTAACTGCTCGCCTGCCTGCCTGATCACCCCTAACCGCTTGCCTGCCTGCCTGATAGCCCCTAACCACTCTGCGTGCATGCCTGATTGCCCCTAACCACTCACCTGCCTGCCTGGTCAGCCCTAACCATCTCTGCCTTGGCCCCCCGCCACCTCAGCCCCTGCTGCCACGGCTTCATCCAGAAGGACGTCCAGAAGGACGTCCGGAAGGTCATTCGGCTGTTTGGTCTAATTAGCATATTACGCTTTTATTATTATAGATAGCTAAGATGTGTGCTAGTCCATTTTTAGATTGGCATCTTTAGATGCAGTATTGCCAAGAGAGGAATAGCTCTAACATTTTATTTTCTCTTTTTTCTATTATAGGTAAAAAGCTTCCTACAACTGGAGAAGTACACATATGGGTGAAGGAATGCCTTGATCTACCAATGCTAAGGGGCAGCCATCTAAATTCCTTTGTCAAATGGTAATAGCATTGATAAGTCTGCCTTTGCAGTTCTACAGTAGCCTGGCCTTTGCTGGTTGATGTTAGTTCTCTATTTCTGTGATGCTGAAACTCATCATCCATAGTTTAAATGAAATAATTTGAGACAGTGACTCCATGAATTAGGGGAATCTGTGATATGAACCCCCCCAAGACTTCATATACTTTTAAAATCATAAAGATAAGAGGACATATGTAAAAATGAAACTAGAGACCACATGCTCAGATATGTAATGTCTTCTAGGAGGCACATCTACTGGTGAGAACAATATTCAGTACGAAAGACTTTATGTGATTTCTAACAGTGGGATGTCACAGCCCTTGGCCCCTTAGAGAAGCACCTATTCCATGATCCATTTTCAAAAGGCCTTTGGCATCAGGCTACAAATACCTGGAAAATTATTTGCTAAGCAGAGCTGTACTAATAGCTCATAAGAATTTAAGACAATTTTGGTTCTTAAGTGGCAAACCTTTTTCTCTGTTACACATATAAATGCCTGGTATCTAAATAGTAGCTAAACAGATATTAATGTGTCATCCTAACTCCCTCTGACTAATTTTATCTATATAGATTCTACCAGAAGTCCAGTTGTAGCTATTTAATTTTATATGACATTATTTGCGATTTTCCCTCTAGATCTTCTTTTTTAAATTAAATTTATTGGGGTAACATTAGTTAATAACATTATCTAAGTTTCAGGTGTACAGTTCTATAATACATCATCTGTATAATGCACTGCATGCTCCCCACCCAAAGTGTATTCTCCTATCACCATATATTTGACTCCCTTTACCCTCTTCATCTTCCCCCCCGCCACCCGCCTTCCCCTCTGATAACAACCATACTATTGTCTGTGATTATGATTTTGTTTTGCTTGTTTGTATGTTGCTTTCTGTTTTATGTCCCACATATGGGTGAAATTGTATGGTTCTTGTTCTTTCCCACCTGACTTATTTTCTTCTTAGTATTTTTATTGATTTCAGAGATGAAGGGGGGAGAGAGAGAGATAGAAATATCAATAAGAAAGAATTATTGATTGGCTGCCTCCTGCATACCCCACACTGGGGATCAAGCCTACAACCTGGGCATGTGCCCTGACTGGGAATCAAACCAAGACCTCTTGGTTCATAGCTCAGTGCTCAACCACTGAGCCATGCCAGCCAGGCCCACCTGATTTATTTTACTTAGTATGGTACACTCAAGGTCTATCCATGTTGTCGCAAATGGCAATATTTCATCTTTTTTTTTATGGCTGAGTTGTATTTCATTGTATAAATGTACCACATCTTCCTTACCCGATCATCCATCAAAGGACACAGGTTGTTTCCATGTCTTGGTTATTGTGAACAATGCTGCAATGAACATAGGGGCATGACACCATACACAAAAATTAACTCAAAATGGCTTAAAGGCCCGAATATGAGACTAAAATAACAAAATACATCAAAGAAAACATTGGTACTAAACTCATGGACCTTGGTCTCAGAGGGGATTTTGTGAACTTGACCCCAAAGGCAAGGGAAGTAAAAGCAATAATAAATGAATGGGACTACATCAAACCAAAAAGCTTTGGTACAGCAAAAGAAACCATCAACAAAACAAAAAGGCAACACATTCTTCATAGATGTCAGCTGGTAACATTTTTCAACTCGGGTCAGTCTCCTATTTTGAGACTAGTCTCAGGCCTTCTTGCCTTTACCGGGTGCATGATAGGTTAAAAGTTAATTCAGCTGTTACCACAAATTAAATGTAAATGATTGCAAATATATAATTTATTTCCCAAAGCAAATCTAACAAATGGGGGAGGTTTCTCTTCTTTTCCAATTCTGTACAAGACTAATTCCTTAGACTATCACAGATAATCGGGAATAGACTGTGCTTCCAAATTTTAAAGGAATCCTCAAACAATTGCTACATAGTAAGCACTTACTAAATGCAGGAACTGAGCTCAGTTGTTTGCTTAATATGTAATTTTAATACTAACCTTATGATGTAGGTGTTACCACTCGCATCTTACAGATGAGGAAGCAAGTGTCTGAAAGGTTAACTGACTTTCCCTGCAATACACAGCCAATGAGTGGCAGAGTCAGGGTTCAAAGCAGGTCTGGTCCGCTCGAATGCTCAGTCTTTCCCGCATGATGGCTCCCACCATCAGTGCTGTTTCTCTACACTCTCCCCTTCCCTTCCTTCCACCAGTAGCTACGTTGAAGTGCACGGAAAGCACAAGTGTCCACTATCTCATTAAAATGCTCTCACAATCCTGTTTCCTTTGGTAGTATCATCCTGCCAGATACAAGTCGGAAAAGTCGCCAGAGGACAAGAGCTGTGGGGAAGACCACCAACCCTGTCTTCAACCACACCATGGTGTACGATGGGTTCAGGCCTGAAGATCTGACGGAAGCCTGCGTAGAGCTCACTGTCTGGGACCATTACAAATTAACCAACCAGTTTTTGGGAGGTCTTCGGATCGGCTTTGGAACCGGTAATATTTGTTACATTTTTTAATCTTCTGTGAGCCAAATGCTTCTGGAGACGCTAGAGGTTTGTTGCTGTGCTCCTTCCTAATGCACACAGATATTTCCGTTAAGTGTAATGCAATGAGTGAGTGAAGGCGTGCCAGCTGTGTGCTGCGGGCTCTGGATATGAATATTAACAGGGCGCAGGATCTCACCACGCAGAGCTTACCTTATTGTTGGGGGAACAGAAGAGCTCTCGTCTCTACTCTTTCCTGAAAAAACATGATGGCCCTTCCTAGCTAAAAGTGTGCTTTGAATAATAATAGTAACTAACATTCATGGAGCACTGGTCATTGTACTGAGTGCTTTATTTGCATTATTTCACTTCATCCTAACAGCAATTTGATGAGTAGTTACTAATGTTATCTCCAGAACAGCTGGCATTCCAAGAAATCAAGTAACAGAGTAAGTGGCGGAGCCGAGATTCAAATTGAGTCTGCTCAACGCTAAAGCTGTAGTCACGCTTCCTCAGAGCTTACCTACTGTCACTTCTAACCCAGGGTGGGAATCCTTCCTACCACTCCCCCATGCCTGTGACAGATTGTCATCTAGCTTTCAGATGACTGAGAAGAGAAACCATTACTCTGGGAATAGAGTACTCATCTCAGATGGTTCAACAGTTCTTTCTTATAGTGAGTCCCAGATCTGCCCTCCTGGTGATGTTAAAACTCTTCCTAGCTGACTTCCATTGGTGCTTATAATTAAAGAATGACTGCCCAGCTGGTGTGGCTCCGTGGTTGAGCATCAACCCATGAACAAGGAGGTCTCGGTTCAATTCCCCCACAGGGCAAATTGCCTGGTTGCGGGCCCGATTCCCAGTGAGGGGTGGGCAGGAGGAAGCCAATCAATGATTTTCTCTCATCGTTGATGTTTCTGTCTCTGTCTACCTCACCCTTCCTCTGTGAAATTAATAGAAAATATTTTTTTAAAAAAGAATAACAAGTTCCCTCCCACTCCCCGATGCACTATTCCTTTTTTAATCCAAAGCTTCTTTTCAGGTAAAAGTTATGATACTGAAGTGGACTGGATGGACTCCACTTCAGAGGAAGTTGCTCTCTGGGAAAAGATGGTAAATTCCCCCAACACTTGGATTGAAGCAACCCTGCCTCTCAGAATGCTGTTGATCGCCAGGATTTCCAAATGACCCCAAAGTCCACTGGCTCCCCCACTGAAAACTACTAACTACTGATCTTGAAAATCTGACCATGTGGACCGAGATCTGCACCTCCTATCTGTCGGCACTCATTTTAAAGTCAACCTGCATGTGCCTCTTTGGTTATAGGCCCACGGTATTTAAAAAATAACAAAATGTATAATGTATGTGTGACTCCAACGTTAAAGAAGATATTGGAGAAAGCTAGGAAAATCCACCTGTTGCTTCAAAGAAAAATCTGCCCTCCCCCCAAAAAATTATTAAATGTGGAGTGTTAACAGGAAAATTTTTCTAGTTTTCCATCATGTGTTTCACACCAGTCTTGTGCTACGGTTCGCAAAGCCTGCCTCTTGACCAATGAAATTCCTTACAGCAACTGCAAATACGTAGGTTGTGGAAAACAGTGACAGAGATATTCCTATGGTGGGGGGGGAGGGGGGAAGGCAGAATATCAGTGATGATAAAGAATTTGACCATAAGAAAACTATTTACTCTGTAATCTCTATAAAATACGGAATTCCATATTAGGGTGAGACCGAGTTTACTGCATGTACTTTCTGTCTTGAGAAACTGCTTTCCCTCTTCCCAGTGTTAAAACAGTCTCGAATGTGCTTTGGTGCCACCCACTGGCCATAAGTGGAATTCAGTTTTTGGCTTAATTTTCTCCTAAGCTAGGTCTCAAGCCTGTATTTTGTAATAGAATATATATAAAACAAAAACCTTGCATATGTAAGATTCTGTTTTTCTTATAACTCTACTATATGAAAGCAGCATGAGAGTGGTCACAGACATGCTTTGCAACAAAGTTTTAATTAGAATGTAAATTGTTTAATTATACTGTATTTCCTATGTATGTATAATTTTCATAAAGTATTTTGTAAAAATCCTTAGAATAAATTATTATGACTTAAATGTATTGTCAAATTAATCTGACCTCTTATTTTAAATGAAATACTTTATGTTAGGGATCCTAAAATCTAAATTCCTTAGCAAGGCTAAAGAAATTCTGCTAGGCTAATATTTCTCCAGTATTTATTGCACATTGGACATGATTTCCTCTAAGTGGGCAGTTTTGGCTATTTTATTAGAGGCTTTACTTTTTATTTTATCTTTAAAAATATATATTTTATTGATTTTTTTACAGAGAGGAAGGGAGAGGGATAGAGAGTCAGAAACATCGATGAGAGAGAAACATCAATCACCTGCCTCCTGCATACTCCCCACTGGGGATGTGCCCGTAACCAAGGTACATGCCCTTGACCAGACTGGAACCTGGGACCCTACAGTCCGCAGGCCGACGCTCTATCCACTGAGCCAAACCGGTTAGGTCGAGGCTTTACTTTTTAAAAGTAATTGAAAAGCTTTGAAGAAAACACATTCTTGTCTAATTTTTAAAATATATTTTTATTGATTTCATAGAGGAAGGGAGAGGGAGAGAGGAATAATTTTAATTGGCTGTTTCCTGCATGCCACCTACAGGGGATCAAGCCCACAATCCTGGGCATGTGCCCCAACCAGGAATCTAACTGGTGATCTCTTGGTTCACGGGTTGATGCTCAACCACTGAACCACACTGGCCAGGCAGTTAACATCCATTCAACACACATTTATCTGAGTTTTCTCAGTGTGCCAGGCACTGGTTTAGTCATCAAGGATAAAACAGACACAGTCCCTGCTCTTGATTTCAGCATTTAATATGGGGAGGCAAGCAGGTAAACAGTGGATTGCAATACTGGTTGTGACATGTTCCGTTAGCAGTAACAAATCAGGCAACCGTGGAGGGCACGGAAAGAGGTGCGTGGTCAATTTTACATGTTGGGGCCAGGAAAGGCTTCACAGAGGAGGTGACTCTGAACTAAATACTGAGCGAAATACTAGAGCAGCATGGGACAAGGTGGGAAAAGGCATTCCAGGCAAAGAGAACACCTACAGACAGAGCCAGGGAGCTGCTGGTTAGGGGACCTTACGTAGTTGGTTAGGGCTAGGGGGTAAAATGCCAGGCAAGTTCAGAGGAAGGAGAGGCTGGATAGACCTCAGAGGTCCATTTTTTAAATTATACACCTCATAGGTCACAATTTGTTAAATATGTTTTTTATTGATTTCAGAGAAGTAGGAAGAAGGAGAGAGAGAGAAACATAAATTTCAGAGAAGTAGGAAGAGGGAGCGAGAGATAAACATAAATGATGAGAGACATAACATAAACCATTGATCGGCTGCCTCATGTGCCCTTTACTGAAATCAAACCCAGGACCCTTCAGTCCGCAGGCTGACGCTCTATCCACTGAGCCAGACCAGCTAGGGCCCAATTTTTTAAATTATATACAACTGTCCAACAAAGTCAAAGTAAGCTTTTCCTTACTCCTCTTTTACACAATGTCTAAGCTGAGAAAGTCCTTCCTGACCCAGAACTTGTATGGTTTCCTTTATTTTTTCTAGTTTCCACTTCTAATACTTTGATTTTTATTTTATTCTTTTTTTAAAAAATCGATTTCAGGGCAGAAGGGAGAGAGACATAGAAACATCAATGATGAGAGAGGATCATTGATCAGTTTCCTCCCACACGCCCCACAATGGTGATGGAGCCTGCAACCTGGGCATGTACCCTGACGGGGAATTGAATCATGACCTCCTGGTTCATAGGTTGACGCTCAACCACTGAGCTGTCATACCGGTCGGCTTTATTTTATTCCTTACAGTTACCTACTTAATTCCTCTGAAATGGGCGTTATATGACGGTAAGCCTCATTTGGTTCTTTGTCTTCTGTTTGGATGTTTGCTATCTCCATGTCACTCATTAAGCTTCTTTCTGTAACCTTAATTTGCTCGTGAGTAAAAACAGGGAGTGCTGAATACCCAATAAAAAAAGAGTATCCATTTCACTAGGGTTTGCTCTTTTGCTGAACTGTGCCGAGCACTACAGATGAAAACTCAAGGCAGTTAGGGTCCCAGCTCTCAGCGCATCGCTGCTACTTTGTGTTTACGGACTGCAGTTTTCAAAGGAGCCAACTGTGTTTCCAAAGACCGTGACCTATTCTCATGACAACTGAGGTGGGGAGAGGAGGCAGGAGCAGTCGCTGCCAGCTCGATTTGTTTACTTCAACCAGATGAGGTGGAGTCCGGTTTCTTTCTTGCCCTGGTGCTGGCTGCAAACCCGGAGGGTTGGCATCTGCTCCCTGTGCCGCAGAGGCCAGACCCCGGGCTGTGAGCTGAGAGCTGGGATTGGTTAGAAAGGCAAGCAGAGCCCCGCCAGATTGGTCCCCTGTTACGTCATCGCATTCTGAAGACCCGCCCACCAATCGCGGGGCTCCATCCTGGGGGAAACTGCTGCCCACAGCGCCCGGAGCCCCTGGCAACGGGAAAGAGTGCGGAGTCAGCCCACGGTGGAGAGAGCACCTGAGCCTGAGAATGAGCAGGTTCTCGAGATGGGTGGACACCCCACCCTCTGAAGAGCCCTTGGATACGCAAAACAAAACCCTGGAAAACCAGGAAGAGGAGATGGGGTTTAAGGAAATGGATGGCCTGAGGGAAGCTTTGGCAAACCTCCGGGGACTGTCGGAGGAGGAGAAGAGCGAGAAGGCGATGCTTTGCTCCCGCATCCACGAGCAGTCCCAGCTCATCTGCATCCTGAAGCGGAGGTCCGACGAGGCCCTGGAGCGCTGCCAGATCCTGGAGCTGCTCAACACGGAGCTGGAGGAGAAGGGGAGGCTGGAGGCCGAGAAGCTGAAGGCCAAGAGCGAGCTTGCCCGGAAGCTGGAGGACCGCTTCATGACCCTGGCGTCCAACCACGAGGAGATGATCCGCTTCAAGGACCAATACAAGAGCGAGAACGTCAAGCTGAGGGAGGAGAACGAGAAGCTGAGGCTGGAGAACAGCAGCCTCTTCAGCCAGGCTCTGAAGGACCAGGAGGCCAAAGTCCTGCAGCTCACGGCCGGGAGCGAGGCCCTGGCCCAGGAGCTGGAGACTCTGAAACAGAGGTGTGCCCAGGATGCCTGCCGGGCACAGGCCCGGGAGAAGGAGCTGCTGGAGCTGCAGAGCCAGCAGGCCAGCGCCCACACCGCGGAGACAGAGCAGCTGCGCAGCCAGCTGCAGAGCCTCCAGCAGCAGCACCAGCAGGCCGTGGAGCAGATGGCGAAGGCCGAGCAGGCGCACGGCAGCCTGAGCCAGGAGCTGCAGGCCAGGCTGCAGGTGGTCACGCGGGAGAAGGAGGAACTGCTCCAGCTCTCCATGGACAGGGGCAAGGTGCTTCAGAGCAAGCAAGCGGAGATCCGCCAGCTGGAGGAGAAGTTGGAGGCCGCAGAGGTGGCCAGGCGACAAGCGCTAGAGCGGTTTGAGCAAGAGGCGGTGGCTGTGGACAGCAACTTGAGAGTCCGGGAACTCCAGCGCAGGATAGCTGGGATCCAGAAGGCCTACGACCAGCTCAGGCTGCAGTCAGAAGCCTTCAAAAAGCACAGCCTGGATCTTTTAAGCAAGGAGAAAGAACTCAATGCCAAACTCCGCCATCTCTTCCCATAAGGAAGCTTCGGCTGCCTCCCGCCTCCAGTGTAGAATTCAAATATGTGTGCCTTGGCAAGAGTCAAGATGTTTTTCAACTTGTTCTATTTTTTAAGCACAAAAGGCAACTCAAAGAAAAGCTACTTTTACTATAATATTGTTAACTTTGTAAGACTAACACTACTTTTCGTTCCTGTCACTTAGAATACACGATTTGCCAGATTTTGTCTTACTCCTTGAAAATCTTCCTAAGTTTGCTATTAGTATCTCTAGCTCTCCCATAATACATATTTATTCTCAACCTGAGCTATCTTCATATAGCCAAAGATTTTAAATGAGCAGCTCCTATAGATTTCAGTGTCTCTATAATGGGCAGTCAGATGTGCTGGTTGTGAAAAGAATTAGTATAATTAGCCCTTGTAGATAATAGGTTTGCAAACTATAGGGTTTTCAGTCTCCCATAGTTGAGACTGTAAACTATAACAGCTAATAGCATACGAAGAGCATGGACAACTTGCAGGAAAAAAGTGTCTGATTTTGTAACAGGCCAAGCAATTGCTTGCTTCACCCGCTTTACAGCAGTATCCTTTTTATTTTATTTGCCCTAGCTTGGAAGACAAAGATTGAGATCATTAAGCAAACTTTATTATAATCAGGCTGTATGAGCAGTAAGATTCAAATAAGAAAGTGGTCCTGGCCGGTGGCACACTTGCTTAGGGCATCATTCCATGTGGGATTGGTTCTCAGTCAGGATAATTTAGGTAATAACATACTTAAATTTCAGTTTCAATCCTTGGTCAGGGGTGGGACTTGGACAGGAGGCAATCGATTGATGTTCCTCCACCCCCACCCCCCATCCCTTCTTCTCTCTCTAAAAATTAATAAACATCCTCAGGTGAGAATTAAAAAAAAATTCAAATAAGTGTAATCAACCCGCTTTGATTTTCCCTACAAGCTTAGATGACATTCCTTTTTTTTTGGGGGGGGGGTGTTCTTTCTCCTTAATAAAAACAGGATTTAGAGGTACAAGAATGCAAATAGCAGCAAATTCATTTAATATTGTACAATATACTAATAGACAAAAGTCCTGAATTTGGAGAAACAAGTGATAGCAGACTAGATATGATACATATAGCAACTTAATAATTATTTTGTTTTTACTGGCATGTTTTGCAATTACCTTTTCCTTTTTTAAAACATCTAAACAGAATGTATATAGGTATACCTACAGCCTTTTTATAGGAATAGCTAAGTATGTAGTAATAAAAACAAATACAGTTATAATTATATGAAGTTCTTAAAGAGGTAGTTATAAAAAATACATTTTATGCTTCCTTATTTCCCCGTTCTTAGTTGATAAGCATTATTGTGAAAGCCTCTCAAAACAGATTGTAATATAGTATTTTCTCACACATTTTGTGTCAAGCGTGCCAACAGTTTCCTAATGCTTTGGATTTATTAAAAAATATTACTTGATACCTTTTTTTTTTGTTTGTTTGTTAATCCTCATCTGAGGGTATTTTTTTTCCCATTGTTTGTTTTTTGTTTTTGTTTTAGAGAGTAGAAGGGAGGGAGGGGGAGAGACAGAGGTTGCCTCCACATGTCGCCCCCACTCCCCAGCAGGGCCAGGAATCAAGCCTGCAACCAAGGTATGTGCCCTTGATCAGAATCTAACCTGTGATCCTACAATCTGAGGGCTAACGTTCTAACCACTGAGCAATCAGCTAGGGCACTTGGTACCTTTTTAATAAACAATTTTCAAGCCTCATCCTTACCCAGGGCATTTTTAAAAAACAATTTTCCCACAGTTTTATTAAAATTGCAACATTAAGTACAAATTTGGGGGAACCACGTTACTGGCCTGGCAGGACTATTTACTTCCTCTTACACGTTACCTAGGATCAGAATATAGGAGCTAACTTAATCATGGTTATCCTCGATCGAGCCCATACTATTTATTATTATGCTGAAGTACTTGGGACTGTTGTTTTATTTCATCCTTAGGGCCGTTCAAGAAGGTAATTATGTTCATTTTTATTAAAAAAAAAAAAATAGGAAACCCGGATTCAGTAATTTGCCCAAAGCCATGTGGTCCCTGGGGAGAGCTGGGATTCTGATGACACCACCACACTAAAAGATTTGTTGAATGTCCATTGAGTGCCAGGCTCTGGGATAAGCATGAAGAACCATGTTTTCTGCCCTGGAAGAGCTTCCACACAGTCTAGTCTAGGGGCAAAAGGCAATTACATACAGTATAGTGTGTTTCCACAGGGGGTGTTATGAGATCCCAGTGAGTAACCTCCCGTTCAACCCCCGCACACACATGCAGAGCAGCTAACTCTGCCTGGGGGTAAGGGTTGGAGGGCAGAGAGGATTTGCAGTGATCATTAACACAGGAGCTGGTATACCAACTGGTTGGTAGATAACTAGTAGTAGAATTTCATCAGGTGAAGAAAAGGGAGAAAGGTTTGGGACGGCATCGTGTAGAAAGTCATGGAGGTTTATAGAAACATCCAGAATATCTGGGGAAACCGTAAGTAGTTGGGAGGAGGTGCAGAGAAGCATGTCTACAGATAGAACTATCATAGGCTGTGAACATACGATAGGTATGTAAAGCCAGGCTGGCCCCTTATTTTAGGGGAAGAGAAGGAGGAGAGAGGCAAGCGCACAAATTAGAGCCACAAACCAGCGCTCCTCTTCCCACCCAGGTTCGGTGCCTCTGCCTGGGGCCTGGTATGCATGCTACCAGCGCCCCTCCCTCCCCTACCCCCACACCTGCCTGTCCAAGCTCCACCCACTTGTGCCAATCTGCCTTCTGGGGGTGGTCTCTCCAACCCAGGTTTTGTGCACAGCCTTCAAGAAGGAAGAGGAGGCTCCTGGACAGAAGCCAGGCAAGTCCTAGAAGCGGGTGGAGGGTTATTTGGGAAGGAAATCTTGGGTCCTGATACTTGAGTTGCAGTCCAGTAGAGGACTTGGCCCCTGGGACTCCTCGTTAGATGAGTAGTAAGGGTGCATCTGGAAGAACACTGGGGGTGGGATTGGGAGGGAGGTAGTTGCATAAATACATATTGAGAAAATATGTATTTCACTTAAAATTATTATTTTACTAGAGGCTTGGTGCACAAAATTCATGCATGGGGGGTGTCTCTCAGCCAGGCCTGTGCCCTCTCACAATCCGGTTGCCCTTGGGGGATGTCCGACTGCCGGTTTAGGCCCCATCCAGAATCGGGGCATCCCTCTCACAATCCAGGACCACTGGCTTCTAACCTCTCACCTGCCTACCTGCCTAATCGCCCCTAACCGCTCACCTGGCCGCCTGCTCATTGCACATCATAGTGACCAGTCATTCCAGTCATTCTGCCGTAAGCGTCACTTAGCCTTTTATTATATAGGATTATTAAATAATAAAAGTGGTTATCAGTGATGTGGAAGGGTATGGGGACTATGGTGGCTAGGGATAGGAGTGGAAAGGAAACTTCTAAGTGTATACCATTTTATATCATTTGACTTTTGAACCATGTGCATATATTACCTATTCGAAAAGATAAAACAAAAATAAAAGAACCTTGCATGTAAGTGCTTAACTTCCTAGTAGGCTCTATTTCTGAGTAGATGGCCTCAAAAAGCCTGCAGATTTTTCTTTCTCCAAGAATTGAGTAGAAAAAAAAACATTTTATATACTAGTAGAGCCAAATATGGCCTGACATAACGGGGTCAGACCATTTGGCTGGAAGCTGGCACTTTCACAAATGTCTAACAACGTGTGGCTAATGGCAACATCTTTTTCTACCCTAAGAAGTGCCTCCCAATGATTAGTAGTTCTCTCCTAAATTTAAAGATTTAAATATATTAGCGTTTCTTGTGGATTTTCACATTTGTCTAAGACCTAACTTTTAGATTTTATTTATTTATTTTTATTTTGTTTAAATTTTAGATTTTAGAAAGCCAGTTTCTCATTTCAAGTTTTTAGACTTTGGGTGTTAGTTTAGATTTTGCCCTAACAGACAAACAAAAGATGGTAAAGGCAGGGCAGACAAAGCCATTCTGAGCTTTCACTTTTAATTAATAATTTATTGATATAATATGTTTTTACTGATTTAACAAATATTTATTGAGAGTCTATTATTGGCCAGGCACTATGCTAAGCTCTGAGACACAACGTGAGCAAGACAGACCTTTTTCTCACTGAATTTGCATCCTGGTGAGTGAGAAAAATGCTGAAAGATGGGATGACATAGGAGTGCATAACAGGGTTTCCCAACATAATGCAGGAGAGGTTAGGGAAAGCTTTTCCTAGAAGTGTCACTTAGGCTAAAGTCTGTAGAATGTGTAAGAATCACCCAAGAGAAGAGATGAGGAAAACATGAGAAGACAGCGGCTCAGAAGCCTTCACAGAGCCTGTTCCTGGTAAGAAATATGCCTCTCCCAATAGCCACATCGTCCAGGATGCAAGCTAAGCACTCACAGTAGACTCTCTAATAAGAGACTCTGTGGCCAGATTAATCCCATTAACTCACATCCATATTTACCTCCATAAATATGTGAGCCTTCGTAATCTGGCTCAACCCTCCCCAAACCCCATCCCCACTCAAATCCAGTAAAAAGCCCAGATCTATGATCACTGGACTAGTCAAGGTGTTAGTGCAGTGTGTGAAGGCATGCATTGGCACCAGACTGCCTGAATTCAAATCCTATCACTTCCTGGGTGACTTTAACTACGGTCTTGCTGGGTGAAGAGGAAATCAGGGAGCTAAACCTTTTAGTGATGAGAGATATGATTAGAACATGGTATGAATTTCACATTGGTGAAACCATATAGGGAAAAGAATTATCCAAATGACTCTAGAAAACAACATTTTTAATGAATAAGATTTTAGAGAGAAAGGAAGGGAGAGGGAGAAAGAGGTAGAAATATCGATGAGAGAAAAACATAAATTGGCCGCCTCTGCAGGACCCATACCTGGGATGGGGCCCCAAACCCAAATTTGTGCCCTGACAGGGAATAGAGCCAGTGACCTCTCTGGGCATGGGACAACGCTCAACCAACTGAGCCACACCAGCTGGGCTGATGAATTTCTTTCATGGGTTATATTCCAAGGAGAATTAGAACCACAAAGAAATCTTAGTAAATTGCATTGATTAGTTTTATGGTTAGTTGTAATATTGGCATTATTAAAGCTGTTTTTTAAAGTATATTATATATACATACAAATGAAAGAATGAGAATCACTTAATGTTAAATTTGAATTGAAAATATCAGTTTAAATCTATGACAGTTGTTCTTTTTAAAAAATTAGCACTCTGCCCTCTGAAGCACTATTGTCCTTCTGCTGTATCCACTCAGCAAAGCAGCGACCCTGACAGCTTCATTCCCCACCATCGCTGCTCCAATTCTCTGCTATAGAATATTCTATAAATGTCTGTATGGGTGCTGAAGTACCACAAAGTCATGGTCTTTGTGGAGAATTTGATGGACTGGTATTTATCATCTATTTTAATCCCTCTTTAAATGTGCTTTCCTGTATTGCAGAAATGGAAAAGCTAAAACAAAGAGACACAAAGCAAACTGTATTTGCAGACTCCTCTGCAGTTATATTTGGAAGATGCAAATAAGGCAGGGGCCCTTTTCCCTTGCTTTGGCTGTTGTTGCCAGGCATATTTTTGGAGACATTTTTCTGCAATAGCATCCCAATGTGCATTCACTAGTTTTATGGGATATGGTAGCCAGCTCCCAAGATAGCACCTAATGATTCCTGTCTCCTAGTATTCACATTCTTCTGTAGTCCCCTTCCATAGTGAATAAGGTCTGAGTCCTGTGACCAAGAGAGTCTACAGAAGTGATCATATGTGACTTCTGAGGCTAGATCATAAAGGACATTGCTGCTGCTTCCTTGGTCGCTGGGTAAAGCCAGACACCATGTAGTGTGGATGCTCACACAGCTTGGGAAGAGGCCCACATGGAGGGGGAACTGAGGTACCCTCCTCTCCACCAACCTGCCAGCCACCTTGGAAGTGGACCCTCTAGCCCGAGTCAAGCCTTCAGATGACTGAAGCCCCAGCCAAAATTTGACTGAATTCCATGAGGATTCTGGAGCCAGACTGCATAGCTAAGACAATTACAGATTTCTGACCAACAGTATTTCTGGGAGATAATGAACGTATATTGTTGTTTTAAGTCACATGATCAGCAAAAATTTGTTGTTTATTTAAGGTTTTGGGTAACTTGTTAGGCAGCAACATAATATATGGGACAGGGAGTTTTGGCAGCAGCATTGCTCTTGAAGCCAGCATTCCAGCTTTCTATTTACTCCTTTCCCAACTGGGGCAGAGGTAGCAGTTCCTTATCGGCCTGATTGACCACACTGCACTGAGCGGCATTCTTGATCACCCAGCCTAACGCCCACTCCTCCTGTCCTTTCAATGACTTTGCAGGCATGCATTCTCTGTATTATACCTTCTTCTGCTTAAAATAGCTGGATCGGTATCTGTTTCCTGTAACTGAGCTTAATCTAATAAAAATACCCATCTCAAATCAATGGCTAGACCAGTGATGGCAAACCTTTTGAGCTTGGCGTGCCAGCATTTTGAAAAACCCTAACTTAACTCTGGTGCCGTGTCACATATAGAAATTTTTTGATATTTGCAACCATAGTAAAACAAAGACTTATATTTTTGATATTTATTTTACATATTTAAATGCCATTTAACAAAGAAAAATCAACCAAAAAAATGAGTTCGCGTGTCACCTCTGACACACGTATCATAAGTTCGCCATCACTGGGCTAGACAGTAGAAGCATTTCTGTTAAAGTAAGGATAGAAACATTGATGAAAGAGAAACATCATGTATCTGCTGCCTCCTGCATGGCCCCCACTGAGCATAGAGCTCACAACCCAGGCATGTGCCCTGACTAGGAATCGAACCAGAGACCTCTTGGGTCAATGCTCAACCAATGAGCCATACCAGCTGTGTTGGGTTTACTCTTGCTTCACTTGCTTTTTTTTTGTATTCTGCGGCTACCTTGTAAAAACTTCCTTCTCTTTCAGTTTTCTACTCGACTCTTAGTCCAACTGCAGAGGCTCTTATGCCATGTATATTTAAACCAAAATATTGTAATTTGGGGAAAATATAATAAATCAATCCATGATTTTGAATTTTTCCTTAGGAGAAAATGCAGTTGGATGGGATTACCAGTCACACAAAACACCTGTACCTCAAGGCAGATTAGAACATATATCACCTTGAACTGTACAGTATTCTATTTTAATAAAACCTTTCCTAGTTGGAAGGTTAAAAGGGACATGGAGGCCATTTATTTATTCTTCTAGCTACCACAGATCATAATTATTTTGTTCTTGGCATAATTGTTTTCATTAATTGGCCTTAAGTATTATGCCTTCAGCCCAAACTGGAAACCTTCTTCATTCAATTATCAAGAAATATTTATTGAAGCCTAAGCTGTACTAGGTACTGTTCTGGATATTGGGGACCTATCAGTGTCCAGCTTTCCTTGAACTTGCTTTCTATTTATCAAATAAACAGCCATGTAAAAGTAGTTGTTGTTGAGGTTATATGCTACTTTATTCCCTAGAGAAGTTTAAAACCTAAGAACTGGAAGAAAGGTTAAGGAATTCATACCACTTTCACTTTACTCATGAGCAAACAAAGGAAAATCTCTCTCTCACTCACTGCCTCTATGTCTCCACTATTTGGACACTAACCTTTCCCTCTTTAAGAACTCCTTATCTTCCTTCCTATTTCACCTTGTTTTCAGTGGCCTTGGTTGTTAAAAATTTAAATTGTTTTATTTCTAATGTATTCCCATTGAGATTGGGAACTTCTTCCAATCTCAAAAGCTTGTGGGATTAAAGGAACAAAGATAAACAACACTATGAGGAAAAAATCCAGAATGTGGTGCATTTTCAAAACAACTGACCTTGTCTCCTCAAAAAACCAATATCAAGAAAAACTAAAAAGTGAAAGAGAAATTGAGGTGGGGGGAATCCCACAAAGACATAGCAACCAAATGCAGTAAGTGACTCTTGTTTGGATCCCGACTCAAAAGAAAATATTTGCTATAAAAGATTATTCTGAGGAAAGCTGAGGAAATTTGAATAGGGCCTGGGTAGCAGATAGTATTAACAAATGATTGTTCATTTTCTCAAGACCTGATAATGGTACTATGATTATAAAAGAGAATGTCCTTATTTCTTAGAGATGCATACTGAAGTATGTTGGGGTGGTGTGTCTCACCTGCAATTTTGGGATTTTTGAGTCAGCAAAACTATGTTTTACAAACACTTATATGCAGGTAAAGCACATATGTCAATACGTTAATTGTTTAGTCTGGATATTGGGTTGAATTAGAGTGAATACTGTACTATATTCTGTATGCTTGGAAGTTTTTATAAGAAAAAGTTGGAGGACACTTATGTAATACCCTTTCTGGATATTGGGTTGAATTAGAGTGAATACTGTACTATATTCTGTATGCTTGGAAGGTTTTATAAGAAAAAGTTGGAAAAATTAAGTTATATATGAATGCCTTACTTATTTACCTTTTTTCTTTCAGTACTCTATAAGTGTTGGAGTGAAAAGATCTTGTATTATAACGGAAGGGGAGAGGCGCAATTTCAAGAGGGATCTGGCCACTAGTCTTAAGTTTAAAAGCAATCCAGGAGAACTTTAAACTTATTCAAAAGTTGGTACCCTCTGGTGTGGCTATGGCTGAGTGCAGAACTTTGAACCAGGTCATGGTTCGATTCCCAGTCAGGGCACAGGCCCCGGTTGCTTGGGTTGCAGGCTCAATCTCCAGCGCAGGGCCTGTAGGAGGCAGCCGATCAATGATTCTCTCTCATCATTGATGTTTCTCTCTCCTCTCCCTTTCTCTCTGAAATAAATAAATAAAATATATTTTTAAAAAGTTGTTATCTAGCCCTAACCGGTTTGGCTCAGTGGATAGAGTGTCAGCCTGAGGACTGAAGGGTCCCAGGTTCGATTCCGGTCAAGGGCACATCTCCAGTAGGGGGCGTGCAGGAGGCAGCTGATTGATGATTCTCTCTCATCATTAAAATCAATAAAAAATATATATTTTTTAAAAATTGTTACCTAAAAGATCAGTAGTTTCACTGGAAGTGGAGGCCAGAATACAGAGAGACATTTTTTTTTCCCCCATAAACTCGGGGTTTTGTTGATTTTTTGCCGCTGTTAACATGACATCACTGGAACGCAGGAATGACTTCCACTCCATCCCTCCCTGTAATCTCGCGATACTAGAGCCCGGAGCGCGAAATGCCGTGGGCGGGGCTGGGGCGAGATCGCTGCCTTCCGGGCCGGGCCGTTGTCTGGGGTGGCGAGGGCGAGTCATCGCGGGGCCTCGCCGCCTGGCTCTTTTCTTCCCTCCTCCCGCCTGGGCGTGGGGGGTCGGCCAGCCAAGTG